ACTTTTCGCTCAAATTCATGGTAAAGGGATGAATATAAATGGGATGCAAACGTCTCTGTGGAGCTAACAGATGACAAAAAGTGTGAGAAGAGGCGAAATAAAAAGAGAAATGACACCATCAGCAATCTACCTGTGTTTTAAAAGGCGACATCTAATAAACACATCCATTGTGACCTTTCTTTTTTCTAGTGTCACTGATTCATGTTTTAGTAATGTTAATGCTGACTTATCAGAGGGCTGACAATGAAAAACCGGATCTCAGAGTCTACGATACACTCTTATTGCACTCAGGACCACATACAGCAAAATCTAAATTTAAAAAAAAGTGATTTGATGAAAATCTGTGTTTTTTGTTCCATCCAAGTTATGCATCCTGATGTCAGCAAGATAACTGAAAACAAAAAAGAAATGCTAAAAGTGTGTAATTTTTACGGTCTTATAAATACATATAGCCACTGCCACTTAGAGATTAAAAAAAAAAATCGAATTAAATGCATCACAACTTGCATGGAAACTTCCACAAATACATTCTCCTAGTTACTCACTGAATTCGAAGTCAAAAATAGACAAAAGGAAGTCACAGTAACCTCGACCTTTGACCACCAAAATCTAATCTGCTTGAGTCCAAGTGAGTGTTCGTGCCAAATTCTGAAGAAGAAATTCCGTCAAGGTGTTTCCGATATACTGCGTTCACGAGAATTCCTCTGGCCTTGGCTTTTGCTGGCACTGAGGCATAAAAATTCAACATACTCATATGTGACCAGTAACTTCTCAGCACATAGGTAAATTTCCACTCAGACAGTGTTCGGTTGTCTTGCTTCTGGGACGACAAACTGCTGCTGGAGGTCGTCACTGTACAACCTCTGATGGGACAAAAGACACGTGCGCACACACACACGCACATAAACAAAACTACAATCGTTCAGCATGAGTCCACTCTCCCTGGAGGCGGCGGATAGGAAAAATCATTATTTTCTCTCAGTAGGAAGTCTGACGTCTGTATCCTCGGCAGCGGCCTCTGTCTTTCGCCTTGTGTGTGTCTGGATCCTGACACAGATCAGGTCCATCCTGTTTGACCCTACGACACCTTCAACAAGACTCTGTGTCTGAAATACTGTTGGTACCTGTCTAAAGTTATCCGTGCAAACCTAGGGAATATATCTAAGGCTGTGAAGAGTGAGTTTTACCCATTGTTTAAATGAAAGTAAATGTTAAACAGTTGGACACATAGTACTTATGAAATGCTGCAGGAGTTTAGAGCAATATCACATTGACATCACTGGTTAACACGGGTTTGTTGATGAATAATGAATGGATTTTAATTTCTTGGTTGTGCTGTTTGCCAGGGAACACTGAAGATATTTCTCATCTCTGTTACACTATTTTGACCTTTTGACTGCAGCTCATTCACTTGTCTTCTTTGACAAAAGAAGAAAATCTGAATGTCGATATGTGACATCTGTAAATCAGGTGGTTATGGAACTTTGCAGAGAACAAGATAATACACAAACTATCCATCCATCATCTATACACCGCTTAATCCTCACTGGGTCACGGGGGGGCTGGATCCCAGCTGACTGAGGGTGAAGGCAGGGGACACCCTGGACAGGTCGCCAGTCTATCACGGGGCTAACTAAACTAAATGTATTATATTTAGAATGAATATATTAATGTTGCAAGTCTGTGTATAATTTCCCCCCCATTCTGGGAGCTCTTATGAGTTCACTCATCCTCTCTCACTCCCACCCATGTTGCTTTCCTTTCATTTAACAACTAAATGTACTTCTCTGGGTTCCCTCGGGTCTGTGACATTTTCAACCCAGATGTTAGAGATACAAGAAGAATGGCAGCCAGAATATTGAAACAATACAATCAAAAACTACGCAAATTGAACCAGAAGCCTCCATCCTCTCATTCTCTTCCACCTCCTCTCAACTCTTAAGACTCTCACAGAGGGGTGGGATATTATTCTAGTTCTTTTTAGTTGACTGTAGCTGCTGCAGACAGAAATTAATCAAAGTGGCAGCTTTAATTTTCTCCACACAGAGGGCAGAGTCAGTGATTAATTGCAGCCACCACAGTCGGAGTGGCCTCTCTGTCAGAGGTGGCTGGAGCTGGATCTGACACTTCAAATCAGTGGTGAGGCATGAGCAAGTTTAGGAGACACTCCTGCCACTAATTACAAATTTTGCACCAACGATACAAGATCCTTTGCTTTCTTGATAAAAAAAAAAAAAAAACACCAATCACTTCCCAGTGCCAACCTCAACTTCTAAGAAGATGAGGTGTGCTTCTAAATCTAAAAAGCCAAAACAGGTAAAAGGCCATCAACAACTGAAACGTAACTTCTATCCACCAGGAACACTTCATTTGAACTGACTGCGTAGTGCTGTAGCAGCAGTCAGTTTGACCAATATGTGGATTCAGATAAATCCTCACTAACACTGACTCTGCATGTCCTTCAACACATTGCTGTTTTGGTTTTGTGGTTAAGCATGCCAAGACTCTCTAAAATAGAGGTGTACAGACGGATATCTCTAGATGCATCAAAACACAGGGACAATGACGCACGTCGAGTCTTTGTGCTGCAAAAAAATGTTTGCATGGGAAATGAAAGGAACAGCAAACATTCATTGCCTCAAGCACAAGGGCAACATTTATTTTAGCTCTTCTCATTTTCTTACCTAAAATAGGTCTAAAAAAAAAAAAAAGCTGAATAATGAATGCACTTAACTTATACCTTAACAAATAGCCCACAAACACATTAGGTCTCAGTTTTCCTTCAATGTAATACATGTAAATGTGTTCACATTTATATATATATATATGCATTTATGCAGTGGTGCAACAGTATTATGCAAATGTGTACTTGAGTCATATTTGAGAAAATAACTATTGAAGTCTACATACTCTAAATTACAAAGGGAACATTGACAAATTAAAACTCTTCTTATTATGTGTGCCAAAGCATTACTGGATTCCCTTTATGTGCATTCTAAAATACTACTGTCTCTTATATAACATTTTATAGGTATGAGACAACTGATTTCCATTAAACTAAAAAAAAAAAAGACAAAACAGCGACTAAATGGACCTTCCTGGGTGGTTGTAGAGGTAATTTGTCAAATGTTTTAGCTGTTTAAATCCACTACACATCTACTGTTGTGCATGCAAGATTTTTCAATGCAAAGTTAGACAGTAAATAAGGCAAATTCAGTCCTTTTGATAGGTTTCTTCATTGATTTGTCACTGAGACACTGACGAATCAACAGTTTACTTCATCAATCTATGAGGACTATTAAAAAAGATTATTAAAATAGCCATAACACGACACATTATACAGGTACTGGAGGGGAGGAAATAAGAAGAAGACAGAGAAAAAAAGGTTAACAGGCTTCACAAACAAATCTGCTCCTGGGGGTTTATATAAAGAAAGAAATTATGTTTTCTAGCCAGCCATTTCAGATAAAAGATAAAGTGCAATTAAGTACGGACAATGACGTCAATTGATCTATTTTAATTCAGCACATCCTACACAGTGAACCCATCATTACCTCCAAAATATTCCCAGCAGCACCAGATGACCACTTAGAGGGTACATCTTTAACTTTCTGTTTCCTTCCTCGTGTAGTTTGTGCTTTTTCTCCTCTCTGTCGTCTCTCTGATGCACCTTCCTGCAGGTTGCATGTTTCCGATTTGGCCTCACCGACCTGCACAGTGTTTTTTTGTTTATTGTTTCTCAGTGCTCGTCTTTTCCCTCCCTCCTTTTCTCTTACCAACCAGTCGGGGCAGATGGCTGCCCACCCTGATCCTGGTTCTGTCTGAGGTTTCTTCCTGTTAAAAGGGAGTTTTCCATCCCCACTGCCACCAAGAGCTCGCTCAATTGGAAAATGCTGGTTTTCTCTCTATAACACAGGAAGGCCTTGACCTTGCTATGTAAAGTTCCCAGAGATGACTGTTGTTATGATTTGGCACTGCATAAATACGACTGAATTGAATTGAATCTTAACACCAGAGTGCACATTCAGTTACGCCTTCAGCTTGACAGTCTGGAAATCAACCAGGCCTTCATCAACTGGCCTTGACTGGAAGGCCAAAGAAAGACAAAGAAAATGTCTAAACTACCGCACAATCTCAGACGAGGAAGAAGGGCTTATTATACAGTAAAGTATCAACAAGGAAAGAGAAGAGGATGGAATTTTCCATCCAAAACCCTTTTAGGTTCAGGGGCTCTGCCTGGGCCATAAACAGGTCGAGTCGGAGGTGGCTAGCCCCCAAGGACTGCTTTAGGAAGGGCTCGTGTTTGTCAACCAAAGAGAGGGGAGACCGGTGGAAAATTACCAGTCCCGCACTCAGTCACGCACGCGTACATGCACACACACACACATGATCAGGACCAGTGGAGAGACTAACCTGTAGCCGCGTATCTATCTCGCTCACTGGTTATGTGACAGCTTGCGTTTTTAATGGGCGAGGGTGCGGGGGGCATGGTTGCGTTGTCAGGACGCGCCGGCCCGCAAACTACGCAACCGGTGACATTCGATGTGTTCACATCTATGCACATTTCCAAGAAAATACCTGTGACATGTCTGGCAGCTAGTGACAGGGGTTTGTAGCGTGTGTGTGTGTGTGTGTGTGTGTGTGTGTGTATGCTCTCTTTGTAAAAGTTTTAGATATTTTAATTACATTTAAAAAGTGTTTGTTTTTTTGACACTTGAAAGTGAAGCTGCATATTGCACCATATACATTACATCGATGTTGGTGTGTGAACTACACACACACACACACACACATCTACTGGATTGGATCCACTGATCCATAGAGCACAAAGAGATAAATGCCTCTACAACAATATCTAGGTTTCCCCTATCAATCTACATATAAGCCAAAACAGAATCAATAGGTGCAAACTGATGAAAATGCCAAAGAAACCAGTGGAGCATTACTGGTTCATTGAAATGTTCCAGTAGGACACAAGAAGATCCAAACAACTGTATTACCTGAGTTCCAAGGCAGCTCACCATCATGTGAGTGAGCAGTTTGGCAGCAAACATGGGGAAACGGGAGCACAGCACATGGGCTATGATGGCCAATGCAAAGCCTGAGGAGGGAGAAGTGGAGGACGTGAAACCAGAGTTAGGGATAAATGAACAAAATGATTTATTTATATGAATGTGGGAGAAATATGAATGGAAGAGCAAACTTTGAGGAGGGAGCTGGACCACAGAGAAAGCTGAAGAGAAAGGCAAGTGGGGGAAAAGGAAAAACACAGGAAAGCGAGAGAAAACGCAGAAGAGAAGAAAAAGAAGAAGAGAAGACATGGGGGGGAGTGTGTTTGTACCTGAGATGCAGATAAATCCTGAGGCATAGAAGGCCTCGTTGTAGGATGCAAGCACGGCGAACTCAGCGTGGGCTGCGTAGATAGACAAGTGGGAGCACGCACATTCCACATAATTCCCACTCTCTTTCACAACCCTGCAGTACTGACCATCTGATGACCAGCTAGAGCAGAGAGTAGAAGGAGAAAGAAGATTTTAGAAAACAGGAAAACAGGACACAACAGCAGATTATACACAAAACACAGGCAAATGAGCTCTGTGGTGTTTTGTTCTTTTGGAGCGTTATCTACGGTGACCTTTATCCTTTTGAAGATGCTGTGCGACAGAGCAGAACATAATCACGTTTGTGTTGGATTCATTTGCACAGCTGACAGGCTTCGGCGTTTATTCTCTCTCCACCTTTTGCTCTCTCTCCCTCTATATCACGTCTATAATCTGTTTTGTTTCCTGTGATATATCGTCCAAGTGGCTGCTCTGGCCAAATCAAACCTGCCAGTTCTTAACTTGTAACAGCGTGTTCCAGCCAAGTCCCACTCCACGCCCCAGGAATGTCCTCAACAAACTGACTCCAAGAGGGAGGATTCAGAGTGCAGCAGAATGAATGTGCAGATATTAAACACAAAGATGTGACTTCCCACATGGCCACAGAGAGGCCTTACCGAGAGGGTGAACTTGGACTTTTGCCCTTCATTTCGCAAACTGATCTCAGTCACCCAGTTGAATAAGAAGTTGACAAATAGGGGTGAGCAAAGGGTTGTAACTTTACATGATGAATGTATGTACAGCGTCAAAGAGAGGCAACGAATCCTTTAGCTGATATGTTACAGGCAGTGAAAAAATGAAACCTCATCTACTGACATTGCCAGCTAACACCAAAGCATGGTTGCATTATTGAGAATAGAATTGAAGAGTTCATTTGCAAAAACGGATAACTCCATTTTTGGAGATTTTCAGAAAACTTTTTTGTTGTTGTTGTTTGCTTGAGATAATGTCAATCAAACTAAAGTTGGGTGGATTTGACTCAGTAGAAATGACATGACAAAAATAGAGATACCTTAAGTTTGATTGATATTGTCTCAGGTAGACGATGGAAAAGTGGCTTTTCTAAGGATTTATGAAGATGGAGTTATCTGTTTTTGCAAATGAACTCTTCAATTATTTTTAATATTTATCTATACCTTGAGAGTGGATGTTCTGTTTTTAGTGAATTTATGGAATGGTTAATCTGGAGTATCTTTGGTGCAATACCTTGAAGTGGTCTGGTTCCAGAGAAGGCACAGAGACCGGCCTGGTTTAACTTGCTGGCCGGGGGTGTGGATACGATACACCACCTCATTGCCATCCTCTAGGGGTCGTGACCCTCTGCCCTGGAGGCTGGCTGAGAACACCTACGTTTAAACAGAGACAAGAGAAGAAGAGAGTTCAGTTGCAGAGCGACTAAAAAATTAATGGTTGATTCATGTCAGGGCAATACTGCCATCTGCTGTATGACAAAATAATTTTTCACACTAATAAAATGAACTCACTGCTATTTGATAAACTGCCAACGCTCTTTAAATGAGTTAAAACCATCCCTACCTTCCCACTGACAGCAGTGTTTGTATCATTGGTGAGAAACCAGTGTTCAGTTCTAAACTCTGTCAGCTGAATCCTGCTGAGGTTGGCACAATCTGCGGTTGAGACTGCTGGTACTGCCAGCAGGGCATCCGGGAGTTGGAAGAAGTCCGCATTACGGCCCCTGAATTTGTATCCATTGATTTGCGTAGGGTACCATTGGAGGGCAGAGATAGTCATATACGGACATGTTTTCAGGATCACGTCCTTTCTGGAGGAGTCAAGCAAAGAAAAACATGATGGAATATGCACTGTGAGGTTGTATAAAATACCACAGCATGTAATTTTTTTAGAAGAGGAATATCTCCCTCTTGCATTACACTTGCTTAGAAAATTGACACTCACATCTCACATTGGCTTCGCGTGAGGAGGGAGAAGGCAAATCTCTCAGCCACTTCAGCGAGGTGGCTGAGGCCCCGAGTGTCGATTCGGTTGGGATTGGCCAAGGCACACAATAGGTTGTAGGTTAAATTCCGGCTGCTTTCCTGTAAAGGCGCCCTCTCTGCCTCTGAGAGCACCTGGTCAGGAGAAAGACAGGGCGAGAAAGACTGAGAGAGCAACAATGCAGACAAGTATCTGTCACTGATACAGAGAATGTGTGTCTGTAGTCGAGTAAGCTTTAGTGCAGTATTCATCTCTCCCAAAGCTCCCCTCAAAGTCACTTTCTTTGGTTTAGGGCTCAGTGCTATGCAGCTTCTGTACATTTCATACTGAATTAGAGTCTTTCTCTTTCTTTGTCTGTATACACTCCCATGCATCCTCGTGCTGTGTAACTCATTTCTCTTCCACCCGCTGCATGCTCTTTAATATTAATATACAGTGGTGTCTTTGCTTGTCTGGAGGCTTAGCAAGCGTAATATGTAGACTCTAACTTCAGAGCAGCGTAGTGATAGCCGTGCTCATGATGAGTGGCAACTGAGACCTTTTCAGATGATAAACTGGTCCTCAGATCTGTCAGAGTAGTACATAGAAGATGATGTATGCCCTTTAGCATCGCTGTCTGACACACATTAGTACACTGAGTCACAAGCCTCAAGTGGTAAAAGACTAAGATCACACAGAACCAACACTTGCTATGAGTTACGCTCGTACTAGTTTTAAAAAAACTACATAGAAATCAATCATTTGCTATTTGCACCAAGGGCAGGGAAAGGCTGATAAAATAAAATAATCGTTCTGACCTAATGTGTATTGATGTATGAGATTCTGGAGAAAATTGCTTTGGTTTTCACAAGAAAACACTTCACTATTAAACATTCCTACATTGTATCTAGTCTCATATCATGATATTTGCCTTTGTGTAAAGACAGAGAGAACAGTAAGATATCGTATTAGTCTGTTCAATCCACTTCTCATGCTTTAATAAGAATGACTAAAACCTGCCGGCAGATTTAATAGGCACGTTACCTTCAAAAAATAACAAAATGATGCTATTTGTCAGATCTAGAAACTGTTCAAACAGAAAGAATCATCAGGTTTTCATCTTCCTGCTGGTCCTTAAATGTATCATGTGAAGCCTGGCTCCGTAATTAAAGCCAAAAATTGGGATATTTAATGAAAATCACTTTGTTCTACATAGCTCATTTATAAATTTGCCAAAAATAAACCCTTGGCACCGGATCCTGTACCGAGGAGCTCCGAGTGAATCAGGTGCTATTCATAGTCATGTGGCAAGATTCTGTGACTTTTTGACTGAACTGCAGGATGTGTTTACACAGAGAGGGGATAATGTTGGTATATAATAAATATATAATGAAGCCAACTATAGCTAGAGAGAGCAAAATAAAGCAAAATGAATGCAGAATGATTCAAAAATGGTCAACAGAGGAGCACATTTTCAGCAAGTTTGTAGAAGTTCCAAAAAAATCAAATAATAAAATATCTATAGCATGCAAAGTCACTATTTTGTTCCCAATGCTGCTAACACCTGTGGGAATTTGGAAACACTTTGTAATGGTGATTCCATAATCGAAACAATTAAACTTTTGTTTTTTCTTTTTTTAACGATTTATGGCAACGTTTTACACAGTACAAAAGATATTTTTAAGTTCTCTTTACTTCTAGCCGTGGCTGAGGTGCTGTTTCCTTAGAGGCGTGGGGCTTTACACCGCATTGACAAATGAGCTTACTATGAGCAAAAATGTGACGGGAGCATAAAATACTCAGAAACTGCTTAAAGTTCCAGGTAATGCTCAGATTGAACTGATCTTGCAGAAACTATTTTTGTCCTTAATCTTCTTTTCTAACCTTCTTACCTTGCCAAGAGCTTCATGCACAGCGATCATCTGCTCACGAGTGAGAGTTGTAGTGACCGCATTCATCAGTCTTTGCAGCACCTGGTTCACTATAGTTGGGTCAAGTGGCTGATGTAATTGTTCCAGTAAGACCCACACAGCTTCACTGGCTGCATTTGACACCAGAGTCACATTAGCCAGCCCAAACTGAGAGTGCACTGCAGCGCCCCCTGTGGGACTATACAGCTCCACCTGAAAGCGCTTGGGTGTGGGTAAGGATGAGGCGAGGTCAGGTGTCAGGTAAATGTCCAACGATGTGTTACGATGACCCACATCAAAGGTTAGTTGGCCTTCCTGTTTAGGAAAGTCCATCCCTGTTTTAGCAGGCCAGATTATGGAGGGACCCACCATTTCTTCCCTGAGAAGCTCCTAGAGGAAAATCACAGACATGTTTTGTGCTAAACTCTGTTTGACTGATTAAAGTAATAAGTTGTGGAGTAAAAAATAAAATAAAGACAGAGTTATGCAACAAGCATTATATTGCAAAAAACAAAACAGGCAACCAAAAATAAATGATAAAGAGTAACACAACTTATTACATGAAACTATTACACATCTCTAAAAGCCACAGTTCTCAGTTGGTGTATGATGTTCACAAGGTCCATATTCAAATAGCGGCACATGTAGATGAGTGAAGTGACAGCTGGGGTGAAACATAATGAAAACCAAATGAGGATGGAGCTTTCATTATGCAGCAATCCTATTGTCTCGCAACATGCTGTGAGAGATGAAAGCAGATGACCTGGCCATGTGGCTCTGTGAGGTTTCAGATTTTGGTTGAGTGCACTAGACACTCCCTTACTTTCATCTCCAGTATCAAAAAGTGTAGTGTCAGTGGATACTTCATGCCCTTGAGTTGGATGTAGATATCTTTAATCATGATCCCTCAGAGGAAAGGCGGGTGGCCATGAGATTAAAGAGGTGAGGAGAAGGGGGGAAACTTTGCTCTCTTTGAAATTCATTAACATTAATAAACCATTACCCTAATTAATCTATATATATGGGGAGCATACCTGGAGGGAAGGCTGAAATCAAGGGCCAGCCATTAGATGAAAGTATGCAAAATTACCACTAAATGCAATTTTCTTATTGGACCTCAATTTAAAAAAACCTGTGCATATATTACAAATTCTAACTTTGAGTGTTTTTTGTCAGCATTTTTCTAGCATTTCTGAATTGCTCCAAAGCAGTTCACCAGTTCCGAATAAGTAAACATAAAGGTTCTGAATCATAATGTCACTGCTTTTCCAAAATTGTTTAGTTATGTAAAAAAAAAAATCTAATACCAAGGTACAGTACATCCTAGTCTAGCTGCTCAGTGGCAGCAGATGGAGCGTGGCAGACATAGGTATTCTGAATTGGTTTAATAATAAAACAATAACAAATCACATCAGTGTACCATTAGAGTTGTGCCCATTGAAGCCAGTGAGGTAAATCGGGTCAAAATAACAGTTTAGTTGTTTCAATGATTGAGAAAAAATCTTATTTCAGTGGGTAAATGATTGGGATCATCTTGGCCCAGATTGAAAATGAGATTTCCTACAACAAACAGAATGACACCTCCAAGGCAGATACATTAGACAGTGTTGGGCACACAGTAGTCCAAACAACTACACATGCTATCTAAAGACATCTGCACCATTGCTTTCTTCACTGTATGCATCTGTCCTCAATTCTATACGTGTATGTCTGTGTGTGCCACTTGTGTCATATAGTTGTGCTTAATTACTACAGTACAGTATGTGGTTGTCTCTTACCAAAGTGCGATATCGGACAGACATGACTGAAGCTGTGCTCGCTCGTCTGTAGACCTGGAGGCTGAGCCTTGTGGTCATCAGGGTGGCAATGGGCAATCTGTGTCCCACGGCAAAGTACACAAGGCCTTGTGGGTTGTCGCTCTCTGCCAAGGTGATGTTGGCAAAACGAGTGGTCTCATTAATGGCAGCTCCAGCACCCACCTGATAAATCTCCACTAGGAACCAAGCCTGGTACTCTGGTTCCTGCAGCAAAGCAAATTAGTGATGGTTTAACTTTGTGCACCACAGCATTTTGCACACAGGGAGAAAATCATTTTAAATTATAAAGAAAAACGGGCATAGTACATTTCAAGGACAGACTGATAACAGAATTATTTAGTGATGTCTTCGCCAAAGTATTCTGCCTCTCTCTAACCTCATCTTCCTGGACCTCCAGAGTGAGAGCACAGATTATCTCTCCTCTCCTGCAGGTCGCTGTTCCTGAGGTCTGTACCAGCTGTGTGGTTAGGTTAACTCCATTATTGACAAGACTTAGAGCTGCCTTGCTGAAGGTAGCTCTCCAGAAAACCTGCAAATCCTCAAATGCTCTGAGTGGAGGGAGAAAGAGCATACCAAATAATTACAAACAAGCAGCCAACAACCAAACCATTTCCAAATGGCAAATGTTTTTACTTCAACTTATAACCAGACGTAGAAAATAATAAACAAATAAAGCATTATTTTATTACCTGTTTTTCTGTCTCTGCAGGTAGAGCAAAGCAGTTCTGTTCTCTGAATCCTCATCCAGAACTTGGCCAATCAGAGAATTAGGACGAAACCCTACAATACCATTATGGAGGTCACTCCCTGGTACGGTTGGATTAAAGAATAGAGAGAGCAAAACAAAAATGAGTCATACAAAGTAGTACTAATTGATACATAACCCAGTTAGTAATATATGTTGCCATCAATCACACTTGTAGTCTGGACTGTATATGCAGCATAGTCAAATAATTTGTCATCTGCAGGGATTATGGGAGAAGTACTTCCAAGAAGACCAAAAAAGCAGTTGGAGACTCAAGTAGTAGTCATGCAACTGAATTAAATGAGTGAAATCTGAGAAAAACAGTGAATCAGGGGAGCACAGAGATTTGTGAAATTTAAGGTTTAGAAATCATCCCGGATAAGTCGTGACTAAACTAAGTCACAGACCAAGAAGGATCCTAATTAGACAGGTGACCAAGAACCCATCAGTCACTCTAACAGAACTTAAGAAGCCTTCTGCAAATATAGGAGAACCTGTCAGACAGACAATCATCTCAGTAGCGCTACATTAATAAGGCCTTTATGGTCAGTTATGGTTAGATGGGAATAAAAGCATAAGATAGTCCAGTCTTTGCCAAATTGGATTTAAAGGTGTCTGACAGAATAAGAAAAGAGATCCTCTGGTCCAATAAGACAAACACTGAATTCTTTGGACAGAACTGCAAATACTATGTCTGGAAAACACCAAACACTGCTCATGGCTAAGATCATTCCTACAGAGAAGCATGGTGGTGGCAGCATTATGCTACATTATGCAGCAGGAACAGGGATTGGTCTGAGTTTAAGGTAGGATGACGAAGAAAAAGAAAACCTGCCCAAGAGAGCACATGACCTGAGATTAAGGCAACAGTTCACCTTTCAGCAAAACAATGATCCACACAGCATAGACCCAGCCACAGGAGAACACAGGAGTGGCTTCAGGACAAGTCTGACTTTCTACATAGATCAAAGCCCAGATTTAAACCACATACAACAACTGCAGAGTGACCTGAAAATAGCAGTTCACAGATTCTGCTCCTCCAGTTCAATGAAGTTTGACAGGATTCCAGGAAAATGGGATGACTTTCCTAGATCCAGGTGTGCAAAGCATGTAAAGCCTTGTCCAAGAACCATCTGAGCTGTAATTGCTGCCCAAGTACCCAGGAACTAGATCTTTAATTCTGAAATAAAGATCTAAATTTGTAAACAAATGCGTGCTTTCAGTTATTGGTTTTTAATTTGAAACATGGTGTCACTCTGTAATTGTGTGTTATTAAGGAGTCTTAATGGATAAGCAATGTTTGTTTTTCATTTTCATACTAGTGCAAAAAGGTCTGAATACGTTTCCGCTATTTTCATTTGAAAGAAGAGACTGTGAACAAAACATTAATTCATTTTTAGCAAAATTTAATTAAAAAAAAATAAAAAATAAAAAAAATATATATATATTTACCAAGGATAGTGATTTTGGCAAAAGGTCCAAAGCCCTGGTGTGGACTGTCTGTGATTTGCGCTCCACCTTCTGGATCACTGAGGTAGATGAAGAATACTTCCTGTCCCTCGGGCTCTGAGTCATCCAGGATGAGGAGGATGACCTCTGTCTCATTCTCACCAGCCTGCAGCGACACTATATTGGACTCCAAGCGGAAGTCCTGCTCCTCCTTTGCAAGCATCCCAGCAGGTTCCAGAATGAAGGGAGGGGTTGTTGTGCTTCCATCTGAATAAAACCGCACGGCAGAATAAGTAACCATTTGTATGTAGACATTGTAGACAATGTAAACATTGCTGTAAATTAGGCAACATAATATGCTGCAATAGCAAAAAAAAAAAAGCAGGACAACAAAACAAACACACCTCCATATGCTTGGACCCGGACCCTCACAGCCCCAGCATTACTGTCAGACCTGCGCACCCTCAGAACCACCCTCCGTTCTTGCTGGGTTCCCTCATCTCTGTCCTCTGGTACTTGGACCAGTCCAGGTCCAATACTCAGAACTCCACCGGTCACATCACTAGCCAGGATGGTGACAGTGGCCACGCTATGCTGCGGGTTGAGACGAGGTAAAGCATCTGCCCAAGCTAAGTCTGGAGAAATGGCCTGTACATCTGTTAGGTTGACGTGAAAGTACTCATCAGGCTCTGAAAGGGTGTCGTCACGTATTAAAAGGCTGAACGTAGTGTTCATTTGGTGAGGTGAGTTAAAGACCAAAAGGCCATCTGGCACTGCAAAAAAGTCCTCTCCTGCTGCTGCACTGCCCGCTACCGTTGCATAGGACAGTCTGGTGGTATTGCTTCGAAAACCATAAAGTCTCTGAACATAAAGTTTTATTGTCTGGATTTCCTCTGCAATAACTAGCTGGCGGGATTCAGGGGCAAACTGGTAGATCCCCAGTGGCTCCACTTCTGCAACGGTGAAGCCTGACCTGTGCAGAGAGACAGAAATCAGAATGCAGCCATGTGATGTCAAATAAGTAATTAACAGTTCAAATTTCCATCTATTGACTTTGCTACAACTTACAACTAATGTTCAACAACTACCTGAACTTGACAGCACCGGTTGCAGCGGTGCTGGAGGTGGCAGCAGTGAGGTGTATAGCATAAGAAGCTGGCTCTAATGTATCAGCAACAGCTGTAAGAGATATGGCTTTAGTCCTCTCTCCATGGGCCAGGATCAGTGAGCCTAAATAAAGAAGTACATTACAAACAGTTAAAAGAGCAGGCTGCTGTTGGTCTGTTTGGCATTTCAAGCCTAATATCCACATTGTGAGTACTATACACACAGCAAGTAATCTATTTATCATATGATATGACAGAGCAGCTCAGATTAGTGCACGACCATCCAAAGACAAACAGTTTATGACAGATAAAACAGAAAGGCATAAATATCAGATAGGGACATATAAGGTATCCAGTTATTTAATGCAAAGATGTTGTGAAGAAAGTAGTCCAAGTGGGTTGAGATGAGTCTGTCCTGTCTGAAGGAAGTTTTTCAGAGCTCAGTCCCTCTTGTCTTACCTGAGTTTGGGATAATGACCCCATTTCCAAAGCCAGGCAGAGTCTGTCCAGAAGGATATCCGGCTTTCCACTCCACCCTGATGTCCCCAAACAGCCCTGTTCGCGTCACCTTTGCCTCACATGTCCCCGTTTGTATACTTGAAACTCGCAGAGCCAGTGAGGCAAAGCCAACCTGCACAACACAAGTGAGAGACGACAGTAAATAATAGAGTCAACTTGTTGCTCACATGATGTGCACTGTGTAAGATTTGTCATGAAAATGTAATTGTTAGCAGCCAGGTAAATGCATTAGCCGCTGTGTCAAAAGACTTGGCAAGAATACAGTTGAATGTTCACAGAGCACTCAAGGACTCAGCGCTAACTTGGTTTTCAAGGTTTTATGTAAGTTCTAAATTATATTAAAGCCTGCAGGGAAATATGTCAAAGGTACACGGTTCCATGATGCTACCAAGTTTGTCCTCTGATGACCGAGGAATAATTAAATGAACTGATGTTTGTTGATGACTTTCCTGTCAGCATCTGTGTGAATTATTCAACCCAGACACAGAAAACAAAGAAGTTTGAATCCATGTTGTTCCTGAATGAAGGTGATAATCAACTAAGAAAAACCTGTAACGCATCATATATATGACTTATTTAACTCTGTTAATTATTAAGTCCTGAGTGCTCTGCAGATGGGTCAGTTAAAAAAGCATTTCTCCCATAACCACAACTTGCCTCTGAGCTGGCAGCTTCTTCAGGTACAGTCAGTGTAGCAGCGCTGGCCTCACGAAGGAGGCGAGGCGGAGAGCCAAGGATAGCACTGACTAGTCTAACATCAGTGAGCTCTGCTGTGAAGCCTGCACCCACTGACAAAAACACCTACAGGGAAAAATGTAGGAAGAATCAGGCCAACAGAAATAAGAGCATACAATATTTTTTAAAAGTGTAATCATTGAAAATATTTGTAAGTATTTCCAAAACCTGTGTTTCTGTACTAGCTTAGGTATGTATCTTCTTCCTTACCTGGCTGCTGATGGGCACAGTGATTGAACTGAAGCTCTGTCCTTCTCTAAAGAGCAACCTTCCCTCAGCTTGTCCCCCCAGGACCTCCCCGATGTCCATCACTTCATCTATCCGGCCTCTGATCCTGTAGCCCACACTGGCATTGCCAAACAGCCCAGCAAGCCGCGTCACATTCATAACCAGAGCTCTGGTGACCTCAGACCCTGAATCCACTATCACTACAGACTGCTGCTCAGGGTTCAGCGAGAAGACACCGTGAGGCTCATCGTTAGCAGGTACCCTAAGGGTGAGAGACAAAGATTAGTTTTAAGTTGATTCAGTCTTTGGCTTCTCATTTTACTTTTTTTTTTTTTTTGACAGAACCACAATGACAAACCTGATGTGGGTTCTTATAAGGTTTGGGTTGGCGTCCAGAGTAGCACCACCCTCCACAGCTGTGAGTCGGAGAATGTAGAGCTCCTCCAGCTCTGGCACTGTATCAGGCATCAAGCTGAGGACAATTTCTGCCTCCCTTTGGCCTTCCAGAATCACCACCGAGCCAGCTAAGGCCAGGAAGTCACCCGATATATCTGAGTCACTCTGTATCTGCCAGTGCACCTGAGGGGAAAGTTTGGTTGTGTTTACGATGCAACTGCAGCCATAAAGACTGAAATTCTAGTTCAGGCACTAATCCTGGGTATGATTAATAAATATTACATGTGTATTTACGATATAATCTTACCGTGATGTTACCCATAACTCCCTCTCTGCGTGTAACCAGCAGGGAAATGTTGAATGGGCCCTCTGTTTCTGTGGATTCATTGTAAACACGCTCTCGAAGGGCATCCTCCGTAAACTGGACTATACCGTTTGGGTCACCAAACTTCTCTATCTGAGAGACAAACACATTAGGAGAGTGGGGATGAGTGGGGTGCTGAGGCTTTTATCCAATTGTAATCATTATTCAATGAAATACCTTCAGTGTTACGGAGCCAGCCTGAGGATCAACATCCATCTCTCCAGACAGAATACTGAGCTCTATAACAAATGTCTCTTCCACCTCCACTTCGCCGTGAGGGAGAATCCGCAGCTCTATGTTGCGTGTACCTTCCTCTCCATCTATAAAGAAGAAGGACCCGTTCACGGGCCCTTTAATGTCGGTGTTGAATGGAGGAAGGATTTCTCTGCTGTTAGGGCCACGGACAATCCAAGCAACCTGTCAAAGGAGAAAACCAATCTGCATTATATAATGTCATCAAGTTAAATCACGATCTGACAGTGATGTGGTTTCAGTTTTTTTGCAGTTGTTGCTCATACCGTTGCATTGCCCACAAGGCCTCCTGCTCTCTCCAAGACAAAATTGAGTTTCAGAGTAGAGTTAGGGTTGGCTACAGTGATTATGCTCTCGTTCAGGAAGCGGACCAACCCACTGGGAGAGTCGCTCTTGCCGATGGTTACTCTTGAAACATGTTGGGAGCCGAGCACTGCTCCCCCTGTAGCTCCAACCAGCAGCACCTCAAATATCTCTGCATATTCACTGCAAGGGATGATTTCGGTTATTTTAGGTTGGAATAAAATAATGTTTTCACAAATGTTGCATGTTTTTGTGTGTGTATATGATAAATTTACACTGTGAGCTAGACACTTATTTTTGTATCCTCCTCTCACCTGTCCAGGTCATCTACAATAGTGACATTAATATAGCTGGTGTTCTGCCCATGCACAAATGTCACTGAGCCATTATACAGGATGTAGTCAAGATCAGGGGTTGCACTCAAGCCTCTAGAAATGAACTGTGCTGAGACCAGTCCATATGAGCCCACTCTCCTCACAACTGGGATCAATACAGTGCCCACATCCTCCTCAACTGAAAAAACGACAAGCAGAAGAAAACAGTAAATAGTCTTCTAATATAAGACAAACAGTTTCATAACAAACCATGTGTAATAGCTGACGTATATTTGTGTACACGACTCAGTTGAGCATTTCACATGATTAAATGTAGCTGTTTCTGTTTGCCTTTGTTGTAGCTCTTACCTGTAATGTTAACATAGTCCTGCCTGAACTCCAGAATACCCTCAGCATTGTCATTCTTCAGTATGACCACAGCAAGAGACGAGATGTTGCCTATAGCTGGAGGCTGGTCCAGTTGGAGGCCTGATTCTCTCACTGTGTAGTCCACACCACTGACCACAAGAGGGAGCCACAGAATAAGGAGTCACTGACGAGAACTATTTACAAGTCACATCAGTGAGTAAGTGGGTGTGGGATCTGCAGTGCCTTTATCATGGATGACTACAGCCCTCCAGGCTCAGGTGCAGCCTTGCAAGCTGCAGTCTTTTTGCAATAATAACACTTTCCTCACATTATCAATATTCCAACCAACAAAGTTAAGGATTAAAGAAAGACTCTTTATCAGCCTTTCCTTACCTCATATTGACAAGCTGCACTTCAGTGATGTTGATGAAAAACATCTCAGGCATCTCTGGGAGACTGTCGTCCAGGATGCGCAGTATGACTTGTTGTGATGTCTGGCCCGGGCTAAACCGTATTCGTCCTGAAGCTGGAGCAAAGTCCAGCCCACTGATCGCTGTGTTGCCCGACGTCTCATAGGTCACCCACACGCTACCCAGACTGCCAGAGGAGCGATTAATTGTCACATTCACCTGAGGAAAAGAAGGCAAAGGCATACAGTTGGTTTTGCAAATACTACAATCCACAGCTTCTCTTGCTTATTTGCCTACGACGTAGTAAAGTGGATCTACATATGTATCATTCTCATTTTCATGACCTTACCGTTCCCTCCTCCTCTGTTGCCCTGAGCTGGAGCTGGGTGAAAGAGAAAAGTCCATGCGGGTTGTCGCTAGCTGCCATGATGATCCTGGCACGGCTGGCTATGGGGCTTATTTCAAGTCCTGAGGTAGCAGACGTCAGTGTAAGCTGGTACTCACGTCGCTCCTCTGGAAGTTCATCATCCAAGACCTGACACCAGAATAGATGTGACAATGACAATTTTATGGAAAACATCGGAATCTAACTAATTGTGATGCTGCATTTTGTTCTGCAGTGCACAGAAACAGACAACATCCTGATATCCCAGCAAACTCTAAAATCTACATCATGCAGTACCTTCAGAGTAATGGTGGCAGCAGACTGTCCATCTGTCATAGTCACAGAGCCGGAGATCGCTTCAAACTCAGAAACCACAGCTGGAGTGATGCTCCAGTTCACCCGGACTTCTCCAAACACACCTGGCCCTCGCACAAGGCTGAGAGGAAGAACACAAATACACACAATTCTCACATTACATTTGTGGCTAATCAACAGAGGTTCTGAAATGTGAAGCTCGTATTTGTTATCTCACCTGACTATGACACTCCCACTGTAATCTCCTTGAGGTTCTCCAATGAGAAGGTTCTTGGAGGACTCTGCTATTCCAACAACACCTAGGGCGGCCTTATCTGCTCTGATGGTGATGGTGACCAGGCCTGCACATGATGGACGAGGGAAGAGAGACCAGATAAGGACAACAGAGAACTGTTATAACAACAAAAGATAATCCTGAAAATTGGGGCATTATTTAAATTCGTTAAAACAGACATTTGGCATGAATACAAACCACTTAAAGGGTCGATGACTGCACCACTCCCAACAGCAGGTAACAAGCGTACAGTGAAATGCTCGTTTCCTTCCAGTGCAGTGTCAGCGAGGGCTTGAATCACAAATGACTTCATAGACTCAGTCTGTAAAGTGTAAAAAGTATGGTAGACTATGTGAGGAAAATGCAACTTACTTAAAGATTATCACTCATTGTTACTACATGCTGGCTGAGTCATTCATTAAAAACAGTAAAGTAGCAGTATTTGGCACAACAGCAATGTCATGCTTTGTTTATTGTACCTCAGTGAAGACAAGAGTCCCATTGAAAGGTGAGAGGTCATCTGCAGCCTCGTCTTCCAGTTGCCACACCAGTGTCACTGCACCTTCACCTCCAGCACTACGGAGTACTGCTAGTGTTGCCACGGCAGCAGGGTCATCCGCAAACTCTGGTTCACTGACTGTAACCTTAGAGGGGATTAAGTAATACGAATGTTTCTAACAGTCAAACTAAATGAAAAAAAAAAAGTTGAATTTATTAAAGAAAGAAAGTTTTCAAAAAGTTGGAAATCTCTGTACCCTTCCCTTGCATCATGGGTAGCTTTATATATCACCATGATGACAATAGTTGTGTTTTAGATTCACCTCCAGATCCTGAAATCCAAATCGTCCGAGAGGTGAGTCATTGGCTGGAATACTGACGGTTACGGAGGTCACTTGTCCAAGTCGAGCACCACCGATCACACGTAGCAGATTCAGTCTGAAGGTCTCAGAAATCTCCACTTGTTCATCATCAAAGATGGTGATGGCAATAGTGGCTTCTCTCTAAAAACAGGTTTAAGGAAACACAAGCAAACACCTTGCAAACATTGCTTCTTGTTGTGATATGGATGGCAGGTTAATTTCATCTTAGGACACACATTTAGCTTACCTGGCCATCTTGGAAGGTGATATTTCCAGATGTGGGGCTGAAGTCACTGAGATCAGCAGTGACTGGCTGAGCCTCCCAGTAGACGACCAGCCTTCCAGTGGTACCAGCGAGTCGCACCACTGACAGATATGCAACGTTGTCTGGTGGTGGGATCTCATAGGCCAGCACACTGCCAGGGATATCCTAGACAAGATATTTAAAAGTAATGTCCAATTATTGAACAATATCATTTAGGAATTGAATATCAGCAACATTGTTACATTTCATTAGCCATTTAGTCTTGTAGTTCCTGATGAACCTCTGTAATTATCAAGTCAGAGGTTTCCAAATGGCGTAATTAGTGTAGTTTCTAGTATCACCATCAAGATTGCATCTCTGTAATGTCTCACCTCCGAAACATTGAACTGCAGAATCCCTCGGGGATCATCGTTCTCCTCGATGGTGATCTCTGCCACTTCCATTCCAGGCCTCTTCACGCTGGGCTGCCCTGCTCCAACCGACCCTCTGACCAGCTCCACTCTGGTGATATTTACCAAGAAACTCTCTGCCAGCTCTGGGATATCATCCTGAGAAAAAAACACACACACAAGGAAACTAAATCATGGGAAGTCAATCAAACCAGGTTTGCATGTGCCCAATCTCTTCCTTGTAAACTAGACTCATACATTTTGGTAGAAGCTAAAAATGTGTCCTATTCCTAATACACTGGTAGATTTAATAAACTTCGTAATCCACTAACAGCCCATCCTTACCGGTAGGATTGTGACAGTGACCAGAGCCACTGTAGCACCATTTATCATAATGATGCTGTTGTCTTTAGCCAAATAGTCTTTTCCTGCTACGGCCTGGTTGGATGGGGGCTCGTACAGGGCTGGCCGGGTCTCATAGTAGATTACCACCTCACCTGAGGAGCCCTGTTCTCTTACTATGGACAGAGTCACATTGACTGGAGTTCCTGCAGGTTGGAATAAATGGGATTAAAGTAAAAATGTCAATGTTAAAACACAGCAAAAAAAAGTGACAAATCAACCATATGTCATGTCATGAAAGGTGGCAATAAGAACTTGGCAATAAGAACTTGGATCAGTAAAAAGATTCCCTGTAAGTAAGCTACAGAATATTTGAAAGACGGTGTGTGTGCACATTACTCTACTGCTCTCACTTCTCTAACGTGGCTGGCCTCCAATACACAGATTAACAAAAATCCTAAATTACTCCACATCCTGGAAAACTCTGCAGATCTCATTTTCAGTAAATCTCAAAGTGTGATTACTGTAAATGCTACCTCAGAACTACAAGAAAAAAAAAGAACTGGTATTTCAGCACCAAGCTAAACTTAAAGCAGCTGATTTTGGAACAAGTAAACGCAGAACTGGAAAATGTATTTAAATAGATAAACATCACCTTTAACTAACTGCAGTCAATCGGACCCATTGCACACGGATCCAGTAAAAACCCACATTCACTAACTGTTCATTCATTCTTTGATTTCTTTCTGCAGAAATTCTTACTCTGTGGTTCCTGTGTTCGTGTAAACTGGGAGTCCAGATGCCATCCAATCACCCCATAGGGAGAACCATTTGGTAAGATGGTGAGTAGTGCTTGTGAAAGCAGCTTGTCAATGACTGCAGCCTGTCGCAGGTCCTGAAGCCCCACAGTGTTGACATCCAGTAGGGTGATCGTGACGCTCTCTTTCAGCTCTGGGACACCATCTGCTATCACAGCCAATTTGATGATGGCTAACGTTTGGCCTTCTAAAAACGCTACCTATGATGGAAAACAACATTTTACACCGATCCACAAACTTATGATGTTATATTTCAACTCTGTTGCTGTTTATTTCAGTTTTCATTCTCAAACGTGTTGTGAATACATACTGTAATATGTCTTTAGTATGATAGGAGGGTCACTCACCACTCCTGAAGTGGGGTAAATGTCTGCCACACTTCCATTAGCAGCCCAGTGTACATTCAGTCTGCCAAAACTCCCTCTTCTTCTCTCAACACTGAAAGAAATCTGATTATCTTGCTCCAACTCCTCTACTTCCATAGACAGGGAACTCTGCAGAAAAGGTAATTATAGATTACAATAGCTCGCGGTAAAGGCTAAAAGTACATTTTATTGGTTCAAGATGTGGTAAATAAATAACTTAAGAGCTAACAGAATGGTTTTAACATGATGACTATTTAACATAATGGAGAAATGCACTAGCTGTCCAATACCAAAAGGGTTATCTGCTCACCTGAGCAAAGCCGATGACTCCATGGGCATCATCATTGGTTGGGACAAACACTGTCACCTGACCACCAAATCCAATCTCAGCTCCTCCCTTCGGATTCTTTAGCCGAACCTGGAAGTGCTCCTGCACCTCAGGGATGTCATCGTCTATGATGTTCACTGCTATCTCCAGCTCACTGTCACCTGGTGCAAAGTGCAACTCTCCAAAACTGAAATTGGGGAAGTGAAGAAAACACATTAAATACTTTGTGCCTTGTTTCTCCTTAAAAAGAATTTTCGTTTCTGAGCAAAAACTAGTTTGTCTTTAAAAATTTTTTTAAAAAAGCTTGGATACCTGGGAATGAAATCTGACTGATTGGAGACAGAAGTGAATTCATAAACAGTGGAGCTATTCTCCTCAGTAGCAGCCAAGAGGATCTTGGTGGTATTAAGGGATTGGACCAGCAGAGAGATGAAGCTAACAGCTTGAGGAGCCCTCAGGATCATAGTGAAGAGGCTGACATCAGGCCTCCAGGAGTAGAGTGAGGAACCATTTCTTCCAGCTAGCAGGACATAAGCTATGGGAAAGAAAATCATTTCATTTACAACTGATTTCAACAGTACAACCAACAAACACAACGGGATAAAAATCACAAAGGATACAGTCTAGACTGTAATTTCATGGTCCACATGTTGTCTTTGTGCTTTAGCTTATTTAATTGAAGTGCCACATCTCAGCATTATTTTGTGTAGGTTTACATTAATATAGAAAGAACTGTAACTTGAAGTGCCCAGGGGTAAGGAATTCAAATGTGAGTGGACAGATACTCAGAAGTCAAACAAAATCATATTTTACATTGCGAGGGAAGCACATTGCAGTCAATGACTGCAAAACACAAGTGGATGATTTGCTGTAGTCAACTCCAGCTCTTACTCATTGTGGTGTCTCTCTGCTCTGCTATGATAAAGGAATAGACAATCAATGGAGACCAAGTGATTGACTCTTTGGTTGCTTTGGTAGTATTTTTAGGGTGATTGTCCTTTTGAATGATGTTTCATCATTCAAAGAGTTTTGATGTATCGGACTGACTTTGAGCAGAATGCTCCTTTATTTCACTGCATTCATTCTGATGTTTCTGTCAGCAGCAAAACCATAACTAATCTTTCATCTTTTTTCCAAGTGTCATATTATATATTACAATTATATCCTAAAATATCCAATCATGAATGTCTTTGAGTTGGATTTCTGGATATAAAAAGGGAACGTTACAGTTAGTGCCTGCTTTCTTTCTTTCATCTGTTCTTCTGTTTGTTATTGCATTTACACTGAACAGCTGTGTTTTCAGCAAACCTACAATATAGTTCTTTAAAGAAAAGTAAAAGAGTGAAATGTGGATAAACAGGTGCACTTACTGTGTGGTTTATCATACGACACCATCAGGGTGCATATTAGCAACATGCTAATTACTGCTGGGTATCTTTTGAAATTTCTTTACACAGACATCAATGCAATTACCGGATAGTATTAAAGTCTGAGTTAGAGAATTGTGTTTTTTTTCACAAAAGTGTGTTTCCAAAAATGTAAAGTTTTCAAAACAAATGTTTATTTTTGTTTCAGCAGCCCAGCTCTACTGTTTTTTTTTTTATTGCAACCTGACGCTCTTCTGAACTCATCTTGATCGTTGAGAAGGAAACATGTAGGGTTACATCCTGGGTTACTATACTTCACATCTTTTTTTTCTATATTAATGTAAACCTGCAACAATTAAACCTACTTAGCACTTTGATGGTGCATTCATTATTTCATTTCAAAGAGAATATGCTTAAGCAAAGAGCCTTAGGAACAAAACTGTGTCTGGGAAACACAAGAGGCAACTATCCAAATCCTCATGGTCAGCACTGTGTCTGTATAAAACACAGCAGTACGTGATAGTTGTGCTTACTGATCCCGGATGGAGCGTTGAAGGAGTGAATGGAGGTGAGGCCTGGGTGAGGAATGGACTGATAGTGTTGTGGTGAAGGCTGCCCTGGGCTCCACTGAAACACCTCACAGGACGGAGAGAGACCTGGAGAAAAACACAGGCGCACAAAAACACACACAGGATTAAGTTCTTTCACGCTGGAATAGCATGTTTATGTAGAGTAACCACCCGCCGGACTGACACACCCAAGACTGACAAATTACAACCTCCGAGTCCCTCTGTGGCTCTGCTCTGCTCCACACTGAGGCCTTTCCCATAAACCCACAACAGGTCTGACCCAAAAAAACTCACCACTTTTGCAGACTCAGAGGGTTACGTCTCATCAAAATATACACAGCGTAGTATAAATATATGACCTGGCCTACATTGTAAATTTTGCCATGTTAGCTGGGACAACAGAACAAGGCTGTGTTGTTAGTTATGGACACATGGATTCAGTGTGCCTTCTAAAGTATCACCAATTTATTTGTACTATCCTAACCAACATCTAACCATTGCACAACCCACTAGAAAGTACTCTGAGAATGCAACCACAGAAAACAGTATCTAATTATTGCAAAAACACAGCCATCCTCTTAGCACACTGTAGACTAAGTGACTTACATTCTATTTACTCACTGCAACGTTCACTGAAAAAGCAGGTTTCACTTAAGTTCAAATACAAAAGAACCAAGAATAGTTATTTAAGTTTGAAAAACAAACACAACAGGATTCATTAATGTTATGTGATGCCAAAGCAAGACAGGTCACCTTCAATAGAAACCAACAGGAGAGTGTCCTCTGTTCTTGTGTTTATTGTCTCCACCTGACTGGCTCTCCCGGTGAGCTGGAGGGGCTGCAGATTCTGAAATCTTCCATTGGTCCACTGAAGCAGGGAGCAACTTTCAGTCTGTCTGTCTATGCACGCCAACAGATAGGGAACATCTGCACGAGTGAATGGAGTTACACTGAGGACGCCCTGTTCGAAGTCAAGAGTCTGCAGGAGTGTGAAGGAGCCTCCAGTCCAAACAAAAATCTGTAGAGACAAAATGAATAAAATAGTCAGAAAAGATTTAGAATTTCTCCAATGAGGAGCCTGTGTCTGCTTTTAAAGATTTCGACATAACTGTAAACAATTAAAACAGCGGAAGACTCGTCACCTGGCTTGATGCTATCAGATAATCTCTGCCTTCAGTGGAGAAGTGTTTGACATCCAGAGCTTCCACACCTAAAGTTTGTCGCTAAAGAAATCAGATAGTCTCAAATTATATCAGTACAATAGAAGACAATACCACAGTGTTGCAGTAGTGTAAGAAAACATGATGGTTTATACTTACCAATGTGATATTGAGGTCCTTCTGCAGTTTGAAGATGCTGAGGTTGGCAGCAGGTAAGAAGGGAGGGCCACTATGTGTAATGCCTATGTAGGTGGAACCATTCACTGCAAACCCAACACACGATCCTGGGTCCTGAATCCTCGCAGACTGTAACAACCAACAGACAGAGAGATTTTTTTTTTTATGCTAACAATGGATTCACTGCTAATCAGACCCTACTGGGTTTTACTCTGAAGTTTATGGATATCGTGTGCTGGTTCAGGAACAATGCTGTTGCTAGCCTACCTCTACTGGCATAAACACACCCTGCCACCGATACAGAGTGGCCAAGGTGTGGGAGGATCCAACAACGGGTCTCCTATCCAGTCTCATAGCCAAAGAAGAAGGCCCTTCTGGAAGGGAGCACCAAGCAGAGGTGGGATTATCCACAAAACTCTGATACACACCCATGACGGGGAGGGGACCCTCTAGAAGAAAAAACAAGAAGGAGATTAAAGTAACAAAACAAGAAAAAGGGGGACATTTATGAGCATTCGGGAGGTTTGAGTGGTTTTGAAGTAAAATGATCACTGGTCTCACCAGAGGCCACAGCTGTGTCAGACTGCATCTCCCATTCCACACTGACGGCCGACTCCAGACCATTGCTGCGGGATACTGTGAGGAAAACTGCACTGCCTCCTTCATCAGCAACGATTTCTGTGCTAGTTCTGTACAGAAAACACACAATACGCAAGCAAGTTTTCGCATGAGGACATCTGTGTGCTTTCTTGTGAATTTGTATTGAACAGCCACAAACAGTGTACATAGAGCAAGTATGTATGATATTTAAAGTTTCTGATCATAATGAAGCGTCTATTTTGAGACCTGTTGAGAGTAGGTTCAATTCGAAACAAGCCAGAAGGAGCTTTGTTCTCCAGGATGGTGATGAGAGTTTCCAGTTGGTCGCCCAGCCTTGCACCTCCTGTTGGGTTGGACAGGACCACTGTGAAGGTTTCATTTGCTTCCGGTTCAGCATCAAGTATTGCTCTGATCTCCAGCATCTGAAACAACACAGATGGGACTAAAGAACTTCCAATAAATCTGAAAAAGTGCATGCTGTTATATATATTTGAAAACTGCAAATACTGATCACGAAAATGAATTCAGTGTTAAAGCTTTAACAACAACAACAAAAAAAAACGAACTTAGCTAGAAGAAGATATACGTTTTCCCGTGCATTTGTTTGGATGCTGTTGGTCGGTAAAAATCTCCTTTCCCTCACCTTAAATCTGACTCCATCCTCCAGGACCACAAACCCTTGTGGTGGCATCAGATCGCCCTCCGCTAGGTTGCCGTGTGCATCAGTGATAGTAAACTGAACTGATACGGTGCCGAATGTGCCTTCTTCTGGGTTCCGAACCACATAGAGGTTGGCCATGCTCTCACCGGGCCCTGACGCAGAGGTGGGCTCTCTCAAGAGGAAATGCTCACTGGTGTTGAAGGAAATCACACCATGTCCATCATCACTGGCCAGGATAGTCACAGTTGCTACAGGAAGAGAAAGAAGTAGATCCGGAAAATAATTATGATGTAGATACATACAATATGACCAGAACTTTATCAGTTCTGATAATTTAACAATAATCCAAAACATTTGTTTTTGAATGCTAACAGGGCTGTTTTAAGTAAATGGAGCAGTGAAATAATTGTGGCCGCTTCCAATGTCATACATCGTCTTTAATATCGTATAATGTTGCAATTTCTTTCACTGACATGACCCAAAATAAAGGGACATGTCACACAATCAGGTATCAGTGAGTATGATTTCTCAGTTCTTAATTCACGTAAAATACGCAGTCAGACAATCAATAACACACATCCAGGTGTCCTTATGAAAAATGCTGTACTTAATGTGGTGAAAATAATATATAGAGTGGATGCTGCTTAAGACAGAAAATGTGTTAAAACCTTCATTCAGTTATGAAGCTTATTCATGGTCAGTATAACAGACAGTTGGCAACAGCAAGAGGAAGATGTGCTGCAGATATTGTTACCAATAGTTTGATCTAGCTTGTCCATTTACTCAATTTAGAAAAGGAATGTTCACTCAACCACTGTTTGAAGTGTCCTGATATCCAAATCCTCTAAAACCTGCCAGCCAATCACTACAAGTAATAAATCATTAATCTCCTAACCCTCTTAGAGAAAATCTCTACTAAGTCTAGACTGTGAAACATACATTTCAACTTAATATGCATGAGAAGCTGATGCTTCACTGTCTTATGCTGTTGACTAAAGATTTTCTGAAATGTTCTATTGTGTCCTTACCAGTGGCACTGGCGCCCAGCTCCAGCCCAGGAGAAGGCTCGGACAGGATGAGCTTGAACCTCTCAGCTCCCTCTGGAACGATGTCATCCGCTATCTGCACTTCTATAAACTTATGCCTCTCACCGTCAACAAAATGGAGTCTCTGGGTGGACAGAGGGGTTTTCATGTTTTAAAACTTAATGCTCCTACATGTTTGTGAAGACTCACAGCTATACATGGCATGATAAAGAGGCTAAGTCAGGGGACACTGGACAAATCTTTACAGGTTGCATTCAAAACGTCTTCAGTTCATCTTCTTCAGAACTGAGGAGCACTTTTGAATGTGAAGTAAAACAGGAATGTCAGCTATTCCAGCTGTTCTTGACTTTGCCGTTCTGGATAGCCACTGATTTTGAGTGTAATGTCTGAATACTGTGTACGGCTAACCGTTTCTGTGGTATTGTAGTCCAGCCCCTGTTGAGCTTCCAGGTTTTGAGCAGAGAAGAGAAGAGAGACGTTTCCATATGTCCCTTTGCTCCTGTAGGCCACTAGAGTCAGCACCCCTATTGTTTCATTCACTTCAAACCTGGAAGCGACAAAACATTTGGATAAGAAAAAATCTTTACTTGGGCAACAACATAACAAACGTGTGCTATATGGGTGCTTTCCTTACATGGTGTTTGTCCATTCAATGACCCCTCTAATTCCATCATTTGCACCAATGATGACTTCTGCCATCAAACCTTGGGTGTCTGGAGGAAAGACCACATGCACAGAGGGAATGTATGATAACATTCAGGCTGTCATTTCTTCTTAACAACTGCAGTAAGTAGCAGTAATTTCTTCAGGCTGCGACTACAGTGCAAGAGCAAATTGCGTGAAGGGAAACTGTAGCGGATCTAACTTCAGTCACGGCACATTTGAGCGTAGTATTATAGCTAAGAAGCGTCTCCTGTAAGTGGCTGAGCAGCCAAGTCTTTTGGGTGGACTGATTTATGACCCCCTGAATAGTCTTCTCCCATTGACTCTGTGGCCAAGACACTGGGAGGCCAGCTCCGGGTTTAGTTTGGCTTTCTCTCTCCTCACCACACAGTGCTACTCGGCTCCCACCAAATCCCCGAGCCTCCTCAATCATGGAAAGCATCAATCTCACCATCCAAGCCACATAATGATTGCTGCCAAAAGAGCGGCCGTGTGTTTACTGTGTGTCTCCAGGCAGAAGGCTGACAGTATTCTGGGAACCTCAGAGTGCTGCTCTGCCTCTATTCTGTCAACTCATCACTTTCTAAAGTTACTCATTCATAAATTAGACTGTGGTTTGGATTATGCAAAAGCAGTAGCAACAACTACCAAGCTCTTTGATGGTGCATTTTGACAGTCAACTACAAACTTGTAGTTTGATGTAACCATACAGGGATATTGTTTTAGGCAAGGGCTGTGAGCATACGATTGTGTAATTTACCTGGCAAAGTGCAATACACAACCTCTATTCATCAAACAGAGCAAACGGTGAGAAATTACAGAGAGAAGAGAAAAAGTGATTTCATAAAATTGTAGACAAAAACTTCAATAAACAGCAGGAGAAGCAGGTAGAAGCCATGACAGAAATCCATCAAGAATCTTACATGTAATTTGACACTGAAATGGCAAAGCCAAGGTGAGGATAAGACAGGATAAATGAATCTCAGTAGTGACTGTAGCTCAGATGCTGTTAAATTTCTCCATACCTAGTTGGGGAACAGTGGCAAGAGTCGTGATGAGCACTGCTGATGTTATGTTGACAAGGAAGAACTCCTGCAACTCTGGCATGTCGTCCTAATAAAACAAGAAGCTTTAAAATTTCATATTCAAACAATCCTGCTTTAAGAAAGAAGATCAAAGTTTATAGTGGTAGACATTCTATGGAATTTTGTCATGTCGCTGAATCTAGTTAACACTGCAATGTCGAAAAATGATGCAGATACACCTCATAACAATTCGAAGAAAGTACAATAAACAAACAAATGATGACGCACAATCATGTCACAGTAGTGTGTTTCAAACAGGCTTGTCAAGTTTGATGTATCGAGAAGTAGGAGTATGGAAGACAGATACAGTTTTTACCTCTAGTATGGTGACAGGGATGGCAACTGAAGTCTGTCCATCCTGAAGGATCACAGAACCAGTGCCAGAGATGAAGTCTTGTCCTGGCTCAGCAAGATTACCCTCGACCTGGGACAGGTTTTGCAAAGAACCTCGTATAACCTCATAGGTGATATTCACCGCTCCTGTACACAGACATTTAGACATAACATTAGTTACAGGGTAAAATATTATAGTGCTTACAAACCTTCAAAGATTAGCCTACTGACCGGAGGCCCCAAACTCTCTGTTCACGTAGATGTTTATAGTTTGGTCCCGTTCATCTGTGATCACCACACGAGATGACTGGGCGATTGTCAGTAGTCCATAGGGCTCATCGCTGGTGTCCACAGTCAGCACCGCCTCACTGCTTTGAACATCCAGGGCAGCATGGCCTGTCACCACAACACCTGTGTGGAAGTCAGGGAAATATTATTTAGTACAAGACTGCTAACGAGGGTTACTTTGACACATTTGCAGTTTCTTCCTGCGCAATTATCAACCAAAAAGATACTAAGAGCAGCTTATTACCAAAAGTTTGTATTTTGGACAAGGACACTTTGTATTCATCTTTGTCCTCTGGTGTGGCATCATCAAGAAGCTCCACGACTATGGTTTCATTTAGTTTTCCCTGTGAGAGAAACACCACAAATTAATCATCACCGCTGAAGATGCAAAATCATGGATGCATCTCAAGTACTCGTTTAATTCTGTGAGTTGTTAGGTGAATACCTTCAACCACTCTCACAGAAGAACAACAATAATGACATGCTGACTTGTGCCAAAGCATGCATCTTCATAAAGTGCAATACATTTGCTTAATCCCAATCCCACAAAAAAATTGTTCAATAATCTATTATGCATTTGTATTGTTAGCTAATCTACCTCTACTGGAAACCACTTCTGTTGTTTTTGAATATAAATAATATATTATATGTAATATATAAAGGTGACTTGACATTTACCTCAGTAAAGAAAAGTGTCCCTGAGGTTTGGGTGAAGGTCCGATGTACAAGAGGTCCTTGTATAGTCCAGTCCACAGTGACATTACCCAGACCTGGAGCTGACCTCAGCACTAATAAGGACAGTCTCTCACCTGTAATATGAGTTATAATACAGTTGGTCTTTACAGAATAATCAGAAAGAGCTGCTACAATACATAAACTTCTCCTAAGCTTTAAATCAGTCCAATGTGTGCTTGTACATAGGAATTATTTAAATTCAAACATAGGTTTTAACAGAGGGGTATATTTATGAACTTCCAATGTGAATTGCTTTTTCTTATACTGTAGATGACAGGAGATGAGACTCCAGATCTCTAATTGTCTGGAGCCTTTAACCGCTCATGCATATATAATTTTAAGATAATGACAGCCACAGAGTCCACCTGTTGCTGCATGCTGCCAGTGCTAGTGTGCTATCCTGCATTCATGTATAATTAGAACACATCTCTAGTGATGGGAGGGTTGTGTTGCAGAAATTCTGCCTGGATGTTTGAAAGCTGCTCAGCCCTGAAAGAATTACAGACTTAGTGTGATGACTCAAATCTCTATACTTCTTGCAGGATGGAAAGAAGCTGACGTAATTTGCACTGAGACACCTATACCTATTCCTTTACCAAAGGGGGGGCAATGAAATGTTATCAGTGAGAGTGCAAGAAGACACAGAGCATTGGCGTGCCAACCTTGCAGGGTCAGAAAACACCAGAAGTAGTTGACATTGGGCAGAGCAGAACAAAAAGAGATCTGATTAATCACACAAAGCCTGCAATTTCTACAGCAGTTGGAATTAAATAAGAAAATGGGGCTGACAAACTGTTCAGAGATATGTAGTATGGCTATTTAATCATCAAATACATCTTCCCACCTTCTCTGGCGATGACAGAGCGTGAGGCTGAATGGAATCCAATAATCCCAGCCACATTATCGTTAGCCAATATCACTATGGTTACAGTGTCCGAGCTGGGAAGGATTCGACTTCCTCCTTCTGTATTAACAAGAGCAATCATGAGGCTCTCGTTGTCTTCTGGTTCAGTGTCATCTCTGATTGCTATCTCTATTGTCTTCTTCAGATCACCTGTAGACAGACAGGAAAAAGTACAGGCAACACTGGTTAAGGATTGGTTTCAATTCTCATCACTATTGGCTTATTGGGTCAAGAACCCCAAGAGACACTGAAATGGTGATGACTTTAATAGATAGTTGCCAGACATAATTCAAACTATTCCAACTATTTCTAATAATTGAGAAAATGCACATACCATCAAAAACCAGAGTTCCTCCTACTCCGGTAAAGTCAGCATTTGGTGTGGCCATTCCTCCAACAACTCTCCATTCTACAGTTACAGTTCCCAGATTCCCTCCTCTTCTCTCTATAACCAGGGGCACCACAACCGTAGGCTCTTCTCGAACCTCTAGATAAAGGCCCTCATTTGTAGCATTGGGACTGAGGCTGTAGATCAAAAAGATGCCAAATGCATCTCCATTCACCCCAATAGTGACAACAGCTTTGTCCGGCTGACCGATTGAAGGCAGGTTCTTCTGAGGCACGGTCAAATTTATCAGCTCTACCTTCAAACAACACACAATAAAATGGTTTATTTGTTAAAAAGCAAACTCAATTTACTCCTAACCACCACAGAGCAACAGGAAGTATACACATATAGTTTTAGATTTTACCTTTAATATCTGTATGGAGAAGCTCTCATCCATTTCAGGGAATTCATCAGTCAAAATTGGGACAGTGAGGTTGGCAGCCCCCGATCTATCATCCATGAAGGCACTTTGAGCCGTCACAGGGGTGTAATCACTCCCTGCCACGGCCTGGGCACTGAACAAGACTGCAGCTGCAGTGCCGTTTTTTACATACGTCATAACCTGAGATTCAGAGGTCAGCTGATCAGCCGCTGAGGTCACCCAAGTGCAGGACGGTGGGTTGACGCCTGATGACAGGGAGAAGGCCTGGCAGGCACGCTCCCTCAGACAAGCAGCAGCGCATGCAGTCAGGGGTTCTCCCTTCCCAGTGATGTTAACTGTAATAATGGGGCCAGTGGCAGGAACACCTGGTTTTGGAAGGTTATAGTACATCAACAGGTTCTGGTCATCAGCCTGAGCCAAGCCAACAATGTCAATCTCAGAGGTGCTGTACGTGATCTCCAAGCGACCAAAGTGACCCCCTCTGGAATAAAGACAATGGAGATGATATAGAAAAGACAGCAGATAGGAAAACAGGGTTCAATATAAGCAGGACTGTTATTTACCATTGTACAATCATTATTAAAAACAATAATTACCTCCTGCGGACAGTAATATTCGCTAGATAAACTCCCTCCAGTGGCTCCTGGACACGGTAAGCAGACTGTTCAAAGTAGACTGTCCCGTGTGGGTTATCATTGGCAGGCACTATTATGTCAACAGATGTATCAGCTCCCAAGTTTCCTCCATTACTGGCACCAGTTAGCTCCACTTTTATTACCTAGAAAAGACAGAAACAGTGCAACAATCATTACAAGCAAAAATCACTTCAACAGATGTATCATTTCACATGATCACAATTTCACGTCCACCTTCAGCATCTTACCTCAGTGATTTCAGGTACATCATCGGCTAAAATCTCGACTCTCAGTGTCTTCATGGTCTCTCCAGGTGCAAATTTCACTTCTCCAGATGTGGGTCTGATGTCCCCCACTGCTAGCTTACCATTGACAGTGGCCTGCCATTGGACGGCCACTGTGCCAATAGTACCGGCATTACGCACAATAGGTAGTGTGACCTCGATAGAATTAGATCCTGGCTCCTCTATTGTGACTGGAACAGCCTGGAAGCCTAGGTAGATTTAAATTAATAGAAGGGGCTCATTAAGCAATTAGAAATATATTAAAATAGTATGGAAAGAGTAAAAAAAATATCCTGGAAAAAGTCTACTAACCAAAGGCACCAAAAGGGTCATCGGAAGGCAGTATGGTGATGATGGCACGTGTGAGCTCCCCCAGGAGAGCTCCTCCTGTAGTTTGGTTGATCAGCTCAATGCGAAAGGTCTCCTCCAGCTCAGGGACCACGTCATTGATGACATAGATGGGTACAGATTTGCTGGACTCCCCCTCCAGGAGGACCACATCAGTTGAGGCTACGCTGTAGTCTTCACCTATAAGATTTCACACATGCACTTACACATGGACAAGGACAGTCTGCTCACACACATGCCATATAAAGAATGATTTAAATTCATACTCCATGTCCTCAAAACTTACTGACTCTGGCAGTCAAAGGCACTGCTCTGAATTTGACGGATACATCGGCAAAAATCCCTCCTACACGTGTAACATTTATTATGGGACCCACGTAGTGTTCAGCTACACTGACAGCTGAAGCCGACAGCTGAAGGACTCCAAAAGCATCATCGCTGGCCTCTACTATCACCTGGGCTACAATGTCAGTCCTGGAGCCCAGAGAAGGGGAATTGGAAACTGTAGAGAACAGACACAGCACATTTTATCAATCAACTGTTACATGGTTTAAGCATCATTATCTCTGAAACTATTTTGTGTGTCAAAATCTTACTGAGCCTCTCCTGCTCTCCTTGAATGAGCTGAGCGCGGATCAGCTTCACAAACACTGACTCATCTCTTTCTGGATCCTCGTCGTCCAGCACTCTAAGGGTGATGTTTGCTTCACTTTGATTGGCTAAGAACACAACAGAATTGAGGAGGGAAACGAAATCCCGCTCCTCGGTTGCTCTGCCCACCCCAGGAGTCCTGTAAGGCGCTGGATCAGTCTCCTTTAGTGTCCCATACGTAACTCGCACCTAGATGAATTCAAATTAAAAAATTTATAATTTTATACATCCAGCACATGTGGGCATCTGTGATTCTGGTATTTGTATTTACTTAAAGCGGCTTTCATTTCTACAACCCCTATTAAGTTTCTAAACCTTCTACAGTTGGACTCACCTGACCCATCAGGCCTCTCTGTCGCAGGATGGTCAGAGAGACAGTTGAGTCTGCTTCAGGAAGTCGAACAGATCTTGTTGCATTCGCAAATACAAAAACACCATAAGGATCATCGCTGGCGAGTACAGTCAGAGTGGCAGATGTCTTGTCACCCAGACGACCGTGTGAGATGTTAACCAAGGACACAATGAAACTCTTGTCCAACTCAGGGATCTCATCCTGGGCCACATTGATGATGATGTTCTCCGCTGTCTGACCTACACCAAAGCTGATGTTTCCAGATCTGCTGAGGAGCTCCCCCTCAGAGCTTGGATCAACTTCCCAGTACACAGTTACATTGGAGAGGTCACCAAAGGAACGATCCACCTGGGAGACGAACAAATGAAAACACAACATGTTGCACAATGATGAACAAGCACTTGCCATTTTCCTCATATTTAAACTGTGTATTGCACTGACCTGCAGGACCACTGAGTCATATCCATCCTCAGGTTCTGTTCCATTAACAGACAGGGATTCAGGACTGAACTGAAAGACTCCATGAGCGTCATCAGATGCAGCGATGGTCACTGTGATGCGGGAGGCAACTCCCAAGCTGGCTGCACAGAAAATTTCAGATGTGTGTTACAATGAAGGAAATCTTTCAGTTGCATTTTAAGGAGTTTCAGTTTGAAGGAAATGAAAAGTACTCATTGGTCAGAGAAGAGGGAAATCTAAATGTGATCGATTTTGATAATCATTCTTAAAAGAAATAAAGTAATATTATAATCAAGATCAGATTAAAACAGCAGCTTCATGTAGTGTGTGGAGGTTATTTCACAATAGGTGACAGCAATACAACCTCAGAGTAAAATACTGGGGTATCCGATAGTTCGTGTCAACTGCTTTCTCCATCCAGCCTTGTGAAAGTCTATTTACTTTTCCCACATCAGTCTCCTTGAGTACTTCTCACGGGGGTCAGAGTATAATGTAAATATCACACACATTAAAGCACACATGCATGTGCACACACACACACCTGCAGATGTGTGAGTGTGCATATGCGCTAAAGGTTAAGTGTGGGAATGAAGGGATAGAGACAAGAAGAAGGAGTTTGGGGAGTAAAGGAAGGGGATACTTACCATGGTGGTGATAGGATGGAAGGAGGAAGTCAAAGTCACTCTCCCCACTACCACTCCCTTCACTATGAAGAAAGTGTTCCACTGATGGATCACATACGAGGACCACAGAAGTGTCACACCAAGTTAGAATCACACCAGAGGAGTAGAGGTTGAAGGGCAAATGGGAAGGAGGCCAGGTAGGTAGTCACATTTGTAGGTAAGGGGAAGCACACAGGAGCACGGCACACAAAACACACAAAAACAGCAGCACAGAACACAGGGTCAGTGCAGCTTATTTAAAAATAGGCACAAACTGCTAAATAGAGATTTCTGATCTTTTTTTCTTTTTTTTTTTTACTGATTTAGAAAAAAAATAGGGAAAAAAATGCAGATCAGTGGCTCAAAATCAAAATGTGTTTGAAACTAAAGCTTAAAATTCTCACCTCCCCCATCAGCATTGTAGAGCTCCACTCTAAACATCTTGTCTAGCTCAGGGACAGGATTGTCTACAATGGTTACATTGATGAACTTTAACCTCTCCCTTGGAAGAAAGTCCAACATGCCCTCTGAGTCCTGCCAGTGGAATAAAGAGAGGAAAGAGGCAACCAGGGAAACAGTCAGAATATAGTATATCTGCTTGTTTGTTTATTATTACATCATCAGTGTCTATGCGGACATCAGTAAGATGACAGATGCTAGTGGAAACTAACCTCGTAGTCTTCGGGGCTGGATGCTGTGAAGGGGGTTGTCCTGTACCCTACCATAATCCTTCCCTCCAGGCCTTGCGCTCTAGCTACTAGCAGACGGATCTGACCATCTTCCTCGTTAACAGTGATGTGGGCTGGTTCTAATGCTGGAGAGATCAAACCATCCTCTGGAGGACTGGGCTGAAACTGTAGCAGGCCTGGATCAGGGAAGGGTTTGTGTGTTGTAATGGAAATAAGGGGAAATGACAAGGAAAACTGTCACAACAGAGTCTTATAAATTCAGACAGTTTTTACAGCAACACTGAGAAAGTACAACCAATTCTGCTTTTTAGGAATGTGAGTGAATACCATAGGGATGGTCGCTAGCTGTGACAGTGACGGTGTTAACAGAGTTGTTGGGGTCGATGCTTGCTCCGCTGGTGGGAGTGGAGCCTGGCTTGCCGTCACCGGACTCTGCTGACACCAGTGTGATCTGAAAGGACTCTGCTAGCTCTGGGAGGTTATCATCCAACACCAGTAGGTTCAGCACCTAACAGATGAAAAGCAAGCATTAGCTTTACTTTCTAATCCATGCTGTACACTTGATAAACAGTCTATATTCTAACCTTTATTAAGTGGCTGATTTAGGATAGCTAATAATATTGCAATTAGATTTTTGCTAACTATCTAATAGTTGTTCAAGTTTAAGAGTAAATATCAGCTGACACCTGTTAATTTGTTACAAAATGTGCAACCAAGCAACCACTAGGTGGGGCTGGTTATCAAGAAACCTAACAAATTTGGTGACTGCAAAAAGCTGCTGTTAAACTGGACATAAGGTATTTATTTAACATCCCATATGCCAATGTGGAAATACAGCACACACAAGTTCCTTCACACTTGTTTGTACACAATGTGTGACTGCACTCTTTGGCACTCTTGGCATTCTCCAGCTTGTAAGAGACTCTCACTGTCACACACACACCTCGGAGCGCTGTCCAGGCATGAACAGCACAGCTCCAGTTGCGTTAACGAAATCTTCAGGGGCCGGCACGTCACTGTCCAAGCTGTCTGTTTGGTTAACAGTGTAGTTGACATAAACATGGTCCAGAGATCCCCGCATACGCTCAATCACACATGAGATAGTGGAGCCTTCTTCAGTGGTCTGTGAGGACATGCGAAGGAATAAAAACATCAGTGAATTCATCGGAGGATGTGATCAATACTAAATGCATCAAGTGTAGTCGCTTACTGCAGTTTGTTCAACTTAATCGAGCTCGCCTTACCAAACAGCTTAATGGCCTAATCTAATAACAACTCAGTAATAATGTGATTTAGACATGAGCAGTGGATAGTCCACATGCCTGTACGGCTTTTTATCCCCTGATGGTCGAAGATGAAAAGACGATCCTCTGGTTCTGATGGAATGCCATCCCCAGCCCTGCCACCTGTTGTACTGATGCAAACAAGGAACAAGATCTCCAGTTTCCAGTGATGGAACTCCTGATCCCCTTCTATAGGAATGCTCTCACTGACAGACCTGCTGCCGCCTCACCAGCTGTCGCTCTACCTGAGATGGGCCACGAGAGCACACTCATCCAATTCATCTAAAAAGGAACAGCATGCTCACCCTGTTGCCAGCCATGGAGACTGATGAAATATGCAGCAGGATCGGGACTGACAAACCAATGGGTTTGAATTACATGTGTTTCTATGCATATGTTTACTGTGTAGAAACAAATGAGTGATGACAGTGGCAAAAATTTCTCCTGTAATAGTGATCATATGTAGATTGGGGGCTATTTTAAGGATGGTTTTTTTTCTGTTAAAACTGAAGTGCTAGACAGGTTCCTGCAGCAGGTTGACCAAGTAAATGCCACCAACTTAAATACACTTACATCAGGTATGCAGGCACCAGTGAATCCAAACAGCCCGTTGGCATTGTCGCTCTTCATGACTCGCAAAATAGCGGTGGGTCTGGGCAGGGGGAGGCGTGCTCCACCACGCACTGCCACCAGCTGTAGGTAGAACACCTCCTCTCCCTCTTCCTCATTATCATCCCTGACCTCCACCACAAACGACTTCTGCCTCTCGTCTTGCCGGTAACGCAGGTAACCCGAGATGTTGCGCAGGTCTGTTTTAGGAGGCTGAGTGTGGAGCTCGTGGATGTGGCTGCGGTTCAGCCTGATGTGGTACAAGCGAACGTCCTGGAGAAGGCCAGTGTAGCGCTCCTCACCCTCAAGATTTGATCCAATAAACACTGTAGCAGGTCCTGAAGTAGAAACACCCCCCCCCCCAAAAAAAACACTGCATGTTATTTTGTATTTTTAAAGCTTAGTAATAACCTATATATTAGTACACAATATAAATCATTTCAACAACAAATTAGCAAAAATATCATGTATACAAGGAGGAAAGACTCAAGCACAATGTACAGAATATGATTTAAGAAGATGCAAGAAAAAATGACGGTAAATTTGTGTGACGGACCACAAACAGCCATACTATAATGTTTTGTATTGTTTTTGTGTGTGTGTGTGTGTGTGTTTGTGTGTATATTGTGTGATTCTATTCTGTAAGATGACACATGCTGGTCAAGTTTCTGCGTACCTTTCGATGCTTAAAACCTCATTAGACCTTATTCATAATTCTTGCAACTCTCACTTTTAGAAAAACTGTGCTTGTCAAAGAGTTGTAACTCCTTGTTTGAATGTTTTAAAAGTCAAATATTGACACATTTGTTTAATTTTAAAATAACACTACTAAAATTTTGTTTGACTTGATTTATTTCACCTTCCGTGAAAAAAAAAATCTGTCGTTGATCTGTTGAGATCATAGCAACTGAGCATAAACTGAATTTTTTTCACATGAATTACTGATTATACTCATTTGGTTCTTCTGATTTGAGCGTATTTAGACGACAAACAGAATCTTGATTAAGGCCACCAAATGCCTAGGTCCAGCTCCTTCTCATTATTCATTTATACACTTACACCTTTCGCGCCTATCACTTCCCCGACTTGTACAAAATAGGACAAATGCAGGAAATCTGCCACAGTGAGCAAGTACAAAGCCCTGACACAAAGCAATTTATCGGCAGGCCGAGCTACCAGTTAGCAGACAATAACACGACATGACTAATGATTATGTATAAATCTGCTGTGACTGGAGTTAGCCAAAGAGGCATTAGAATATTTCCCCTCTGGGAGCTTCTGGTCAAATACAGGCTATTGTCTCCATTAATTAGAGAAAATAGGAAGAAAAGAAGATGCCGACTGATTCCCTTCAGCGGTAACAATGTCCAGCAGTGCTGAGGCTAAGTGGTCACTCAAGCATTGCAGAGTCCCAGCGGCTCCGAACAATGAAGCAGCAGCTAAGAGGTGGGTGTGTGTGAAGGTACACACGCATTTACATACTGTATGAAGGGGCCTCCGTATATGAAAAACAACGTATATATGGTATCTTTGGATTACATTGTAGAATTAATGTATAAATGCCACAAAATGCATTGAACACTGCAAGACTTAAAAAAAAGACCTTCACTACAACTTCACATTCAAACCAAGTGGTGATACAGGTTTGAGTGCCAACGCTGTTTTAATTTTTATAAATGCAGCAGCATATGATAGAGCTGTTGAAGGAACATAGGACAACCAGCGGTGGTGCAAAAAGGCCAGGTTTTGATGCTCAAACCAATGGTGCACTGATAAACCAGAATGTCATGTGGGATGTGTTTAAATGCCACAAAGTCACGCTAAACAACAAACAGCAACTCTTGTCACAAGCTGAAAGCAACAGATAAAACTGGAATTATTATGGACACTCCACATGAAACAACCTGGCCTGTTACTATGCTATATTAAATCCATTTATTACCAACTCACCATCCTGGATGCCTTCTCCTTTGATGCTCTTCACTCCCCCAGGAATAGGACTCCCATCCAAGAAGAACTCAATAATCCCATCATCAACTGTAATAATTATGTGTAGCCACGTGTTTTCTTCCAAAAACTTCTCAGCAGTAGCCCGGGCCACTTGGGTATTGTTTGAACCTGTCACTGTATAGTACAACATCACAGTCACATGAGACTCATTGGTGTGGACCTTCACTCCATAATACAAGCTCCCATTTCTGGTTCCTTTGGACACTATGAAGCCATCGGTATCTGGTCTGGGTACCAGCCAAGCAGAGAAGGTGAAGTTGCCAATGGCAGCAGGCCCATCGTCAGGGGAGATGGTCCCATAAGCTCCTGGAAGCCCAGAGAAAAACCACGTGTCTGTGGCTGAGTGGTGTCTCCTAGCATAAGGCTTGAGCTCAACCTCATCTGGAAAGGAAGCTTGAAGGAGCAGGTCATCCATCAGAGGAAGGCCTTGTGGGAAGTGTCCAGAAACGATCTCCCAGCCAACGCGCACCTCACCGAAAGCACCCTGCTGTCGGAGGATGGTGAAGGAGGTAACATCAGCCATATCATCTTCAGAGAGTACGTCTTCAGCTACTTCTTGGTCCAGGTTGCTGTCAGCGATGGCGAAGACACCAAACGGGTCGTCATTGAAAGGGATGAGAACTGAAGCGTTCAGAGAGGTGTTGGCCAATCTTCCGCCCTCTCCAGGGAAACCACCTTATAGACGTTACGGACAAGAAAGACAAACTTACAAATTTGCAATTTTCAGCGCCAAGATTTTAAAATCTGATGACTCAAAAAAATGTCACGGTAAGTTTAGACACAGCTGATGAATTTACATAATTTTCAAATCTGATACTTGAACTCACCTGAGATATTTACCAGCCTGAGGACGAAGAACTCATTGAACTCTGGAAATGTATCTGCGATGGCCTCCAGGACAATAGGCTTGGTTTCTTCACCTGTAATGAACGTGATGGAGCCATTTGTGTGTGTAAACTCCTGGTTTTCTTCCAGAGGCGTCACTGAGTCATTAGCAAACAGCTGCCAGAAGACTGTAACATTGCCAAAATGGCCCCTTGCACGTAGTACACTGCAACAGAAGAAAAAAAGAGTTGGAGCAAAGTTTTAAAAAGAGCATAAATAGTACTAATTCAAAAGTCCATAGGAAGTTTTTGCATTTTAATTTTTTTGGCACATAGTTATTTTGCTTAAGCAAGATGAATTGAGGACCTGCTCCTTACACAAAATCATTGGTCTTGCCCTCCTCAACAGGTTTTTCTACAAATTCCAAGGAGAAAATCCCATTGGCATCGTCATTGGCCTCGATCACCACAGTAGCGGTGTCTGCTCCATACACAACAGCATCACCTGTGTGCACATGCATATTATCAGGTTAAATCAAGATCTACGAGACAGACAGACAGACAGACAGACAGACAGACAGACAGACAGACAGACAGACAGACAGATAGACAGATAGATAGATAGATAGATAGATAGATAGATAGATAGATAGATAGATAGATAGATAGATAGACAGATAGACAGATAGATAGATAGATAGATAGATAGATAGATAGATAGCCAGCAGAGAGATTGACATGGATTGCACTGGCCATATTGTTATTGTCATGCTAAATTTCATGCAATAGGGGGAGGCTGCCTATTAACATAGCACACGATAACTATGGCAACCAAGCCCAGGAGGAAAGGGCTTCTTATTCATGAAAAAAACAGAGAGCAAAAATAAAGGCTTCTCTCAGCAGAGCAGTTAAACTGAACAACCACAATCATTACATTTTAAAGTTGTTTAAAAAAAATAACAAATAACAAAGGAAGGAATAAGAATTACAGTGGCATGACAATTTGCTGAAACAGCATTCACACAACTGAGATAAGCTCTCACTAGCACATACTTCAAGTTGCCAGTCTTACATTGTAACAAGCTAATCTGCCCATGATTAATCAGGCAAGCTACACAAATGTCAAGGTCCCAATATGAGTTTGGTTGACTACTAACATCAGGGTTATTGACTTCTGACACAATCCCTGCCAGGACAACTCCCTGGCATAAACCAGAGGCTAACCCTTACTCTACTCTACTCTACGTCAATCAGTCAGCAGAAGGAGGTCAGTGGAGTGGCTGCCCTTTGTGCCTTAGAATGTCTGGAGTCTGATAATTAAGGTTCTGTTGGGGCCCACTGGCCTTTCACTCTCATCAATGAAACACAATACTGGGATTAGGAGAACCTTCAGTTCAGCTGCTCCTCTTTGCACATATACAACTTGCATTAAGACAAGAAGGAAGAAACAGAGGAGAAGGGGTTGATGTTAACGTCGGATCGGGTTTCACTGATAGATTTTTTAATTATGAACTACATTAAAAATGAGAAAAGCAACTGACTTTTAATCATCAGAGTGGGATGCAGGAGTTTTCGTATGTTTTGTCAGACACGACATCCCCTATATTAACTGACGTGAGCACCGATCCATAGAATATGACCCTATAATATACAGTACACCCCAGTTCTAATCACTCGCTTAAAACAAAGTCTGTACTCACCTGTGGCATTGTAGAGAACGATGTAAAACGGTTCATCAGTCTCCGGTATGTTGTCATCTTCAACAGCCACAGAGATGTTCTTCATCCATTCACCCACATCATACACCAGCATTGTGTCGTTACTCAGCAGGGTCAGGTCATCTGGTGATGCGTCACCGTACTCCACTCGGTACATCACTGTGGCCACAAAGTCTGCTCGCCCGGCCCTCAGAATGGTAAAGTTGGCCACCCCACCTTCTTGAAGTCGCACAATAGCAGGTTCTGAGACAAGCACGACAGGTTGGAAGACACAGAAAGACGTCAGAGAGCAAAGCCGAGTGAATGCCAGAATATATAGTATGCTCCACATTCAATAAAACATTTACCAGAAAAGTAAATGGGGTCATCATTCCTATTAATCAGTAAATTAGCATTGCGTTTATCTCCCAGTCTTGCTCCACCTGTTGCATTTAATAGTGTGATGGTGAAATTTTCCATTTCTTCTGGGATCTTAAATTAAAAAAAGAAAAAAAAATTAAAAGTGAAAACAAGGAACTATAACTCTGTTGTGAATTTCATGCATTTTTGAGTTTAGTTGAACATTTCACCTCATCAGGTACAGAGAAGAGAGTCAGGTTCTTCAGGTACTCCCCCTCCTTGAAGGTGATGTTTCCCTGGAGGGGCCTGACATCTCCGGACATGAACGGCTCCAAGACCCATGAAACAGACACTTCTTCAAAGTGACCCCTGTTCCTCACTACAGGGTATACAGCTAAAGAAGAATACGCAGAGATCATCTATTTAGATACTGACCTCACAATTAATCATGCTTTCATGTACATTTACTTTCCTTCAAATACAGACTACTTTGGTAGAATAAGTATGGACCATTTTGGCACATAAATATAATAATGTATTTGTCTGTCTAACAAACAAACTTCATAAGATTTTAATCGTACAGCTTCCTTGCATAGAAAATAGAAAATTGTGTGCTCCATAGTTTATGTGCACTAACACATTCTTTTGCATTACACAAAAATACAAGCAGCATTGTCCTTATTTTCCTTAACAAGCACATAAAAGTCTGCCTCCACATAGAAACCAATGTTGTGTGTGATTCACTCCAATTAGGTCCATTTTAAGTGTCAATGAGATGCCACTTGACATGGACAAGTATCACTATTATCTAAAGGACTGCTACTTCAAAGTACCCTGGTGCATCGCGCTGCCTTTGCTCTCATTGATGGCCACCGTCAGTCCTGATTGGATGAACTCAATGACCCCAAAGGGGTCGTCGTTCTTCCGCACTGTGATGTTGACCTCTCTGTGGTTGCCTAGACGACTGGGTGGAGTGCTGTGGCTACTAAGTACCATAGAGAAAGTCTCGTCCAGCTGTATGGACACACAGATACACAGACACGCACACACACAAACAAGCAGTTTTATTATTTAAAAAAAAAAAAGAAAGAAAGAAAAAGTCAGGTTTAGAGCAAAAACTTTATAGCCTGCTGCAGGAAATGCTAAATTTAAGTCACATTCGAACAGTATGTAGAACAGATGTAGGCAAATGAAAACCTGCTGACTAATTCAGCCTTGTTTCAAAACAAGCTTGCAAAATTCCTGAATCAAATGAGAGGAAAGTTGATGTGTTTAACTAACTAGAATATAAATAATATTTTAGTTTAGATTAGTTTTCATTTTGTAGTGAAGGGATTTCATTTAATGTAATGATAAGAGGTCTGCATGGATAAAGAAAAATGAAATCTACAAAATAAAATTGTGTCTTATTGTTAATAATAATAATAATAATAATAATAATAATAATAATAATAATAATAATAATAATAATAATATTCCTCATGTCCTTACCTCAGGCACTCCATCAGGCCTTGCCACCAGAGCCACCACCACCTCCCGCTCTCCCGGTCTAAACTCCAGGATGCCTATTGCGCCATAGAATTCACTGCTGCCTGAAGGCATCACAACATATCGTACCAGCTGTTTCAGAAGTTGTCCCTGTGCTCTGACCACATGTAGCTCCACGGCCTCACCCTCCTAGATTTAAAAAATACAAATATCATGAGACCAGAGAGAAATTAGACTTGATAACAACATTCTGCACTTAGCCCCATAAACCCCTGACTATTTATTTTATTCTTTTTTTAAATGTACACCTGTAAAAACATCATCAGACTTCCAGTCACAGGTTCATAACTGTGAGGCCAAAAAGAACAACCTTGGCTTTTACGGATAAGAGACACTTGGGAGAAGTTTGAAATACAGTAAGTCTGCTTGTCTCATCTCTAAGTCAGAGTGAGATCTGAATAACTCTGAAAATAAACCAGTAATGAACCTGTTCCTGTGGGTTGCAAACATTGTCACATACAGCTCTTCCAGATGTGATGCAACTGAAATGAGTCACAACAACGTGACACACACTTTAATTATAGGAGTATTGGTGGCGGGCTGCATTTTCCTAACAGATACGTCCTGGTCTCAGAACAGGGAGCTGAGGAGTGGAAACAATTACTCTAGCTAACTAGACAGACTACTTGAAATGAAGTCTTATTGTTTTTTTTGTTGCAGTTTTAAACTTTGACTCACGTTAATAACCCATGGACCTCTGGAGAATGGGGAGAACTCAAAGACTCCTCCTGGATCATCGTTTTCCATGATGATAATCTCCCTGCTGGTGAAGCCGGCTTTCAGGATCTGATTCTCAACATTACTCCTGGGACACACACAGGAATGCACACATAAGTATAATATTAGATCATAGCCATCCTTAGAATAAAAAATACAACAAAGCAGAAGAACAAAAGATGTTATTTTTCTCAAAACATTTGTCACCTTCATTGAAGGATTGTGGAGCTGCTTTTGTTGTAAGAATTGCAAAAGTGAAAGTGCAGCAGATGGCAACTCGGACATACAGTTTCTTGGATTTTTGCTTAAGTGTCTAAGATCAGCAACAATAAAAGCTACAGCTAAAAAAGCTCAACTGTCACTTAAACATCTCAATGCATTCTTTGCATGGTGTGATGCTCCTTCTCTAATGAGTCTATATGCTGAAGTCGTACTGCGTAGACCGCTTTTAATAACCGTGTCAATCAACTGCATGCCTGCATCTTTATTGCTCCCCAGGAGTGTGTGTGTGTGTGTGTGTGTGTGTGCTGAGAAAATGGGAGCCAAGCAAGCATAACAAAACAGGAGTCACAAAGACATGACAGAATGAAGCACTCCAAACCAATAGCCACAGCCAAGGTGGTGCATGCATACAAACACTGACATCTTTAAAAGGTTACACAATCACGCCTGGTTAAAGAAGATTCTCTGTGTACGCCCAACAGCCACTCTCTTTTAAATTCCCTTTTTTTCACACCACGCAGAATCCCCCACCCTAACCCTCCTCATCCCTACGTTGACCAAAGAAAATCCTGAAGTAGGCCCTTCTCTGAAAAACAAAGACCTGATTCACGCCACACAAAACCACCAGGTTCACTCCGCTCTCCACTTACCCAAAGTACACTATAAAGCGTGCAGTCTCCACCCTGCAGGGAAGGAGTGGGAGGGAAAGAAAGCCACGATTCTCATCATAATATATAGACTAATAGATGCTAACGGATAACCTCCCCCCTCCTCCACACACACACACTTGAAGCAATGGAATGATGCACTCAGCCACTAGGAGTTATTATAGTACAGTTATCGTGTGGACAGGAGGGTCTCATAAGTCTCGATGATACTTGATTAACTGCAGGTTTTCCCAGAGTTTAATGTGCCTACCTATCCAGGGTGAGCAGCAAGGTCTCGTTGACTTCTGGGATATTGTCAGCCATGATCGTGAGATTGATGAAGGCATCGCTCTGCCCGGAGAGGAAGACGACAGAGCCATTGAAAGGCTGCAGGTCATTAGCCGTTACATCCTCACGATTGGCTCCAGTTGGCTGAAGACTCCAGAACACGACAGCCCGACCGTCTGTCCCATCGCGCCGCAGAGGAAGGCTCACCTGCACCAAGCATCGTTAGAGTTAACATCCTATACATAACACAGGGTTTTTGTTTTTTTTAAATGAGCAGTGTGGTGGCTGTAAAGTCAGTGATTAGAGACTCTTATCTGCTACAGTGGTAAAATAGGAAACCCTCTTTTCCATTCATTTTAGCACAAAATGATGAACTGCATGGTAATAATAAATCATGGGGTCTTTAAGGCTTTTGTATAATTTCAGGTCCAAACGAGAAACAGTTTATCAATTACCCACTGTGAGTTGTTTACGTAGTCATGACTCTCATACCAACAAATGTTATGGTGTTAATACTGCTGGTATGCAATGCTGCTGAAAACAGGAATCATATCTTACCATGCTGGTATTGCTGTCCTCTGGTTCATAAACCACCACTGTGCTGTTACTTGTAAAGCCGATCTCTCCATTAGCAATGTCGGGGGTGACGGTCAAAGTCAGGGTTAGCGGTCCCCCGAACCTTGGGCTGTTTGAGGGAATTGAGGGACTGATATCAATCAGCTCAAGTGCATTCAACTGAGGAAGCAAACAAAAAAAAAGAAACAGTTCATTAATCACAAGGCTCAAACAGGGTCACTAGCTGATGAGAGAAAACTTTGAAAACAAAGCTGTTATTGTAAAAACTGGTTCATCAAAGACGGTTATTTCTGTTCTGTCACTGTCAGTCCTCCATTCACTCCATTAATATTTGTGCATGTCTGTGTTAAAGTAACAAGGCAGAAGCTCTACAGAATGTCAAGAAGACTTTTCTAGTACTTTTTGCTAGCTTTAAGGGCCTGGTGATGTTGTTAGTTTGGGCAAATCCCATAGCAACGTGCCAGATTTGAGAGCCAATGTCAAACCATTCACACATCCAAATGAGGCACTTAAACTTTGGATAGCACTCATCCGTCAAAGGAGTGCAAACACAAACAAAAAGATTACGTTTTTAGATGTGCAAGCAGCTGCAAGTTAAAAAAAAAAAAAACATCCAAGTATCTTGAATTCTGGGGAGGGGGCGGGGGAAACACCTTGATTCCAGCATTGTTACCTGTATTAAGAAATGAGCTCCATTCTGCAGAAAGGCATCGTTCCTGATTGGCAGTGTGACATGGACCATCGGCTCATGGGAAAACACAACATTAATAGACCTGCTAACATTCAGAACCTGGTCACGGGCCAGTGCTGGGTCTACTGGACCTGCAGGAATGTAGAGGGCCGTGAGAGTCATAGAGACGTTACCCAGCGTACCACCATCTCGCAGAAAATTTAGCGATATGAAACGGCCCTCAGGTTGACTCTGGATGCTCTGCTCTTTGGCTGGGTCAAACCGAAACAGCCCATAGACATCATCGCTGTCCTGGATGTAGAACACCATCTGAAGAATGCGAGGAGAAGGACCAGTTGAAGAGCAGGATTAAAATGAACAAATCAGCCTAAGAAAAGAACTGATGAAGGAATGCTCAAGAAACAAAATATACCATCAACATTCTTCCTTCTATTTATAGCTGAGTTGTCTAAGGGAGTGTCTTTGTGCCATGTGCATTGAGAAGGATGCTAACAGATCTTCAACCTATGAGAGGGTAATTGCAATGAAGCTCGTATTTACCATCAATTACATCTGAGAATTTTGTTGCATGTCTTGTTTTTGTGTTACTAAGATTACATCTTGGTCGTAAGAAGAAAAAAGGAGAGGTGAGGAACACAGAGAGGAAAGAAAACAAGTGAGACTGAAAGTAGTAAAACAGAGCCCTGAGCTAACTTTAGAGAGGCATCCTCTTTAATTAACTCTGCTAAGACTGCTAGAGTAGTTTCCATGAGCCTTTAACTGCGGCTCATTCATTTCCCTGGAACCTACACTTGTCTGATGCATTGCCTGGCACTTTCACAACAGCTGATTTACAGCTCAGTGTAATGTGTATATCAGTTCCTCTGTGTGTGATATATCATCTGCAGCTTCAAAGACAACACTGATTAAGTTAATGTTACAGTTGTTTGTTTATTCTTCATTGAATTTCTGCTGAGCCAACTTCTTTCCGCACAGATGGCAAACAGACCCTAACGTCTCACAACTTGAAGTGGTGTTCTGGTGTGTGTTTGCATGTCACATCTTATGCCTTGAACATAAACAAGACTTAGATCTGCCCACCTCTTTCACACATAGCCAAGAGGCTTGGACAAAGATGGAAGCTATAAAAACCTGTCACCATTTCACCCACGCTCAAAAAAAAAAAAAAAAAAGCCCACAGGGACACCACACACGGAGTGCGCCTGCTGTTTCCGCTTTGTTTTGATTCAGCCACATTAAGGGAACACCCACGGAGCAAATTACGCGCCAAGGGGTCGACTTTTGCGGAATGTGCCAAGTTTGACACTGTACCTTACAGCAGGTCACACACACACATGCCGAACACGTGCAAGCACATGAATTAGATTTGTAGCAAGTGCAGCCATATTTTCTAAATACATACAAGCCCAAAGCAACAACAAATCTTCTTTAAACTGACCTCCATGGGTTCGTCAACCTTCACACCTCCATCTACAGTACTGGGCAGCAGTTTGAGAAGAAACGCCTCTGCTTCTTCTGGTTGATCATCTGCCTCGATGCTTATTGGAACCACTGCAGTCACCTGTCCGTCAGCAAATCTCACTGTCCCTTCTTCTGGCCTCAAGTCGTCTGACACCGGCGATTGATCGCTGGAGTTTCTGCTGATGGACCAGTTTGCAGACACTGCGCCATAGCTGCCTCCATTTCTTACAATGATGATGCCATCAAATCTGGAAGTATGATAATATTGGATGTATATTTGACACATTTGCATTCATGATTACTTTAAAGAGCATTTATGAGACACAATTGTCATCACAGTGTTTCTAGATATTTATAAGTCATCCACCTCTGTGTCAGATCTTCATTGATGGTGATCGGCTGAATGAGCGCGCTAATTGACAGGACGCCATGAGGTTCATCATTCGGCTCGATGGTCACCTGCATAGCCTTGTGTGATACGAGCACAGCGTCTCCTCTGATGGTTGTCTCCACAAGGACCACGCAGAAGGATTCTGCAAGTTCTGGCATGTCATCGTCACTGATGTTGAACAACAGGCTGGCTTTGTAGACAAACGGAGGGAATGTAACTGTTCTGACAGGCTGCAGGTCGAGGAAATCCACCGCTGGCGTGGCGCTGACCAAATCGTCACACTTCTTCACCATGTAATCTATAGAAACCTAAAGACAGTATAGCACAGAGGGTTTAGATAAATTTATCTTGTGCTTATTGTTTTTTCTGCATCAGAATTGTTGATCGTGCATATATAATTAAAGTGGTCGTGCCCTGTGCTTTAAAAGTCAAGGTAAATATATGGCTGGATTGAAAGAGAGGAACCTCAGTGTCAACAGAGCCGATGAGCGGCCCATCCTCGTGCAATCGGCCACGGGTCACGTTGAGGGCAATGACAGCCGCAGACTCTGGAACTGTCATGGTAGAGTGGGGGAACCGCAGCGGGCTGTCATTACGCCGGATTCTCAGCTGGACGCTGCTGGCATTGGGCCTGAGGAGGGCTCCACCTGCCACACCCGTCAGCCGTACTAAAAACACTTCGTCATCCTCTGGGATCTGGTACAGAGAGAAAGACAGGTATCTATATGTAACATCCAAGAAGATAAATAAGAATATGGCATGCTTTGCCTGTTTTAAAAAGATGTCAAAATAAAGTTTATGAAGTCCAAATGGGTGACACACATCTGGCCTTCAGTTGAGGAGCTTTGAGTAATGTTGGTATTAAAGCTCTAAACTATTAAGTCAGTTAGCGTAGTTGGTCAATCCAGCTACTGAGAGGTTAGATCTTCTCAAATAATCTTTTTAAGAGTGACAGCACAATTTTGAAATACAACATCTTTCCAACTTCCGTCAATTAAGTGATAAAGTTGACACTGAAGGACAGACGGGCAGAAATAAACCTGGGTGGTTTAAACAGAACAGTGAGGAGCCACTTCAATACCAGGTCATCTTTAATGAGGATGCTGAAGTGAACGACAGCTTGTCCAACAGGGATGGTGATGTTTCCTCTGTCTGGACTGAGATCCTTGAAAGCAGGGTTGGGACCTTCAGAGATCTAAAGAGACAGAAACAAGAAAAGCCACAGTGAAGTTTAGACTTTAACTTGCTTATGTGCTGGATGTATATTTTGATTTATTGTTAATACATTGTACAGTGGCATAAACTTTTAAAAGGCACTTACAACAAGCTAAAATCAAGCCCATTCACCAGGATTATATATCTGTAACAGTCCTTGTTGAACAGGAGGTACAGCATGTCAGTCATGCTGTTTTTATGTCCATTGCCCTCTCACCTCATAGTTCACGGTCACTGTCCCATATGTTCCCTTTTCTCTAATTAGGGTGAAAGGCACATAATAGTCCTGTCCTCTGGGTTCATCAACTACGATCTCTTCAGTCTGGGAGATAGACAGACAAAACAAACAGAACCCCAATCAGTTCAGTTTAATCAGTTTCAACAAAGTTTCTCATTGCCAAGTAGAATCAGTCCAATTATGAAACAAAGCAAAATGTCACATGTGAAAGACTGCAGTAACAAAACAAAAATGAAAGTAATTTGAAGTTTCAATGGGCCCTAAAGTGGCAGGACAAATGAGCAGGATGTCTCTTTAGTAAAGACAAATAATTGAAGGCAGATCCTTATCAAGTGCAGTCAACTGACTGTCAACAAAACAACATAACCAAGGTAACGCTTGATTTCATTTGATTAATTTGAATGGAGCTAATGAACTGTTTTCATTCCTATGCTTTGTATTAAATGTTCTAAATTGTAGAACTCCTGCACACATTTTAAACAATGTTGCTCATTATATATATGATATTGAACTAAAAAATGTATTCTTATATTTTTTTTTTACTTATAATTTATTAGTTATTAATTTTATTTTATTTGGTTTGTTTCTTTGACAATGCTGCTCCTAATCAGTGATTTTGCCAATGATGTAACTGTGTGGGAGCAGGAATAAAGCAGTTACACAAAACTGAAGCAGCAAAACAGTAACAATAAGTGAAACACAAAACGCATTCAGTTCAACTATACTGTGAAATTACTACTAGTCTCTTAAAATTTGGATTTTTAAAATGTAATTCCAGTTCAGTGATTTTGTAAAACAAGTTGCACATCCAAAGAAATTTAGGACAATGGAATGAAAAAGAAAAAAATTGTAATTTAGATTTATTAAATTAGCACATCTCCAAAGGACAGAAGGCTTTTATTGATTTTAAAGCAAGTCAAATCATGATCCAGCATGCAAGACCATCTGCTGCAGCTACACTGGGAACGCTACAAACTCCCACTGCTAAGTCAACCACTAGATGGTCACAATGCTGAGATGACTGTCTTGCTTCTGTACTCCACCTCAAACCCTAACAATCTGCTAAAACATCAATGGCTCTGTTTTTGGGAAACTGCTTTTAAATGCAAGTGTATACTCAAAGATTTTGCAATATTGGTGACCTGAGGCACAAATGCAAATCTGGTGCAGCACTGCACAAACTGGGAGAGGGTCTGGAGCATGATTAATATATTGTATGTTGTGTAGGAGGAATATATTAACAGGTCTTGCTGAGGAGGATGGACAATTGATTTAGCATATTTTCCTAAAGGGTCAAGAGAAAAGTTCAGGGAGCTTTGATTGCCCTCAGAGAAAAGTTTTGGAAATGAACAAGACAAAATGCATGTGGGTGATGGGTTTCTTACTGAGTTGAAGGCAATTATTCCAAAGGCGTTGTCATTTGACAGGATGGTGATGGTTGCCTTGTTTGGTGTTCCCACTGTCACACCATTGGAGGAGTTCTGCAAAGTTTCAAAGAGAATTTAAATGTTCATATAAAACCAGGCCCAATACATAGAGTATTGACAATAGCACTCCTTAACCTCCCCCCAACAGTTAATCCTGACACTCGTGTGAAAAGCCAGGACAACTGTCTTATCTCCACTTCATTCCTGTGCTCCCACTGAGTGACCCTGGTGAGAAGGCACAGAGACAGGAAGTACTGGTTTCAGCCCAGTTGATTTGTCAGGTTAGCTCTCAGCAGGGCGCCTCTTCAGGACTTGTGCTGTGCTCTGTGGTTCGGCACTAAGACCTGATAAACCTAAAATCTCTGCATGCCTAAAACCACACAGTAATTTCAAAAGATTAACACTGTGAGTTTCTAACTTGACAAAACCATAACCTCTGATCTGTGCAAGGAATGCTTTATGTAAGCCTCACATTGTTGAAGAGGCAAAACACAGGCTTTTTATTTGGTGTAACTTTGCAAGGTTTTAGTTAGCTTACCAATGTTTTCACAAGCATTTAAGTGCTCAGGTTTTCACCTAAAATCCAAGATCCATTTGACAACATGAAAACATCTGTATACAGGCTCATTAGTGAATGTGAAGGCATTCTGGAAAATGACCTATGATGACAGTTTTGACATATGTTAAACAGGAACACAACTTTCTTACTCGAAGCATTTGAAAAATGTTTTCCTTTTTTTTTTAGCCAGTCTAACTACAACTCCTCAGCTTAACTTCTGCACGTCTGTGAAGGTGAGAGCAAGTAATGGAGAGAGAATGAAAAACAAGAAAGCACTGAGGCCGCTTGTATTCATCCCTCTATTCAAACAGGGCTTTTTCTAGCGGTAACAGGGCTTTCTTTCTGATGCTGAGCTCTTGTAGCAGGTCAACTCACAGACACAGAATCCGCACGCTTTCACAAAGCCACTTAAAAGCCAGCTTTGTTAAACTCATGTAGCACTAAATAAACCCTGCCCCTGTGATTCCAATATGCTACAACCCACTGCGTGTTCCTACATTTTGTCTCTGCATAGTGTCGGAGGGCTGCACCTGCCATGCCCCACAACAATTTGACACTATTTCTGTGTGATCTGTCATACTCAACTTGAAACAAAGACAGTGCAACATTTCCTACTGAAACAGGTTTATCTGACAGAAATGATAAATGTACCCGGATCAACCTTTTATTTCTTGCTTGTGCTTGATCTGTGACACCCCTTGTCGAGCACATTCATCCCCCCAGACAGTCCTTCAGTAAGCTGATAGGCTCGCATTTGGCCAAAGCTTTGTCTCTGCCGTAGTGTAAACAGAAGGGCTAAGTGGGCCTCATCTGGTCTTTCACTCTCGTGGCAGGCTAAATATGGGCTTGTGCTACTGGATTTTAACCAGATGTCACAAAAATGCAGCGTCAAATTTAAAACGATGTGAGGAAAGTCACTCCCGCTGACAGCTGTTCCATTGTTGATGTTTTGTAGATGTACATAGCTGACAGTGATTCACACTGACCTTTATCTTAGGTCTTTTAGTGAGGGACAAGATGGGCAGACAACAAGACCAACTTCCCCCAACAAATCATCAATCAAACTGACAGCTAAAGGCTACATGAAACCATGGAGATAGTCTCTAGGTATAAGGCATCCTGAGCTGTGATGGTAATTCCTTTGACAAGTGGCTACGTATCCCAATTAAAAATCATTTCAAAGTTTATAACTATATAGCTGTCCCATATAACACTGTGCATGATAAATCCAAACTTACAAGCCATCTGTCCAACTTGTTTTGTAATCTTAGAGTAACACAGACTAGAATACAGGAGCACGTGGCACCTTGTGATATGGTGCTGGGAGTTGCAGCAAAAGCATCTCGAAATTATTTTGATTTCCTTGGTTGTGACTCAACTCATTTAGCACAACAGCCGAAGCTTTCATCTGCAATAGAATGTCAATTACAATGGTGAACCCACAACATATATATAAATGAACTCCAAGCCTACTGAAGTCAAGACGGACAGTGAATGAGATAATCACTTTATTCTTATGTGTGGTGAGGCTGTGGCTGTCAAAGTTAGCCTCTTTTCACAGAAGTGTTTTTTCATGGCGAACCTCAAGAGACGCTCACAATATTTGTCCCCACCCAGACCAGCCCTGGAAAAGTGCTACAGAGCACACACATCAAAGCCCCTGCAGCTCAGAGCCACCCAGGGTTTACTGTGTGACGCCCCCCCCACCACTCCCCATTGCTCAGTAGCTGGGGTTAGGGTTTAAGCCGGTCGGGGGGCAGAATCAGAACGATGAAACCCTGTGGGAGGAAAGTTAAAGGCAGCAGAGAGGACAGAGAAGGAAGCGAAAAAGGGAATTTGGCACCTTTTTTTAGACAGGCCTCAAATTGAATCATTTATTTCAGAGTGGCAAACATTTGAGTTTGGCAGGAGACTCTGCTTGAGTGATGCTCTGGAACAGTCTGAGAAAGCATGATACAGACTGTTGCTGAGATCACAACCCCCCCAGTATTTAAATGAACACAGTTTCAACAACAGAAACCATTTTCTTTTAAAAAGGAGGCGGCTGGGGAGGGAGGCGGAGACGATTTGCAAATATGTAGAGGCTGATGTCGGAGAGATGGGGTGAGCAGAGAGCAGGCAGAATGGATGAACGCTGCCTCAGTTATAAAGTGCATTAACTGGGTAGAGTGGATGCAAGTCATGAACGACTTGCATGAACTCAATGCCTACCTGAACTACAGTAAAGCTCTATAAATGCAACATATACAGGTCTGCAAGGCAAAAGGTGGAATGTGCACACACATGCACACAAAACTGCAGACAAATAACAGGCATGTACCTGCAGTGTGAGGTTGAAAGTAAATGTCTCATCCGCTTCAGGCAAGTCATCATCTCTCACAGCAATGAAGACGGTCTTAGTGGACTCAGTAGACAGCAGGACGGCCGCAGCACTAACACCATCAAAGTCTCCTGTGTAGTTTCCCTCCGGCTGAGTGGAAAAAAAGACAGTAACATTTAAGTTAAGTAAAAATCATCTTCTGTTTGTTTTGTGTTGAGATGATTTACACATTTATGTGAAACTGAGAGAAACAGGAAAGGCACACGGCAGATGGAAACAACATGAAATAATAGATCAAAAATGGGTTTGAACCCAGGACGATGCTGGTACATGATTTGCTTGAACAACTGTGCCAGTAGGATGCTCCCGGCTTGATGTTTTTGCATGTTTCAGCTCTTTCTTCCAGCAGAGAGCAGATATCATGTTCTTTTTGATTTACTTCCTTTTTATTTGAGCCTGTTTGATCTTGAGGTTCTGTGTTTTTCTATCTGTGCCCATTTGTTCCTGGAAGGAAGTCTGATGTTACACAGTATTTCATTAACTAGTAAAGCTGCCTAGATTTAATAGTTCATGTAACAAGAAATATGGTAAAGATATCAAGGAGCACAGGAAACCCCCCAACCACTCTCCACTGCATGGCCAGTTCGCCTTTCCAGACACCAACTGTGAGCAGCTGACACTGGCCCCCATGTGGAGGACATAAAGCCAAAATCTGTCCATTTCCAAAGCGGTGAACTAAGAATCTTCACTCTTTGGTAAATACACACAGCAGCTAAACTTGACAGTATTACGACAGGAAATCAATTTTATTTATTAGAAAAATATTTTAGTACAAGAAGATTGCACAGTTCAGCATATAATGAGTATGGAGTCATCAATGTCCTACCAGAACCAAAGCTGTCACATTGACTGGGTCCCCCACTCTCTCAATGACCAGCCGGACCACCGCTGTGCTGCTCTCGTTGACAACAAAGTCCGTCTCCCCCAGGAACCGCAGCACGGCTGACTCTGACGTGGTGCCAGGGATGGACAGAGCCAGAATCAACCCAGCTAGCAGGAGGACAGGGAGCATTCCTACAAAAACGGGAAGCATATGGAAGAAATATTTTAAAGTATGCAGGAAAAATAGACATAATGCGTGCATTGAAAGAAGCCCGTATAGGTTTATTCTGGAGAGGTTTACAACTAAAATAAGCAACATAAAGCAATTTTAGCTCAGATTACGTTCTGTAGAGGTCTTTTTTCGATCTCATGGCCCAAACTGTAAGTCAAAAATGTTCAGGAACGGCTCTTCATCACCACTAATAAAGGCAATACACAGAACAAGAATTAAGACTACACAAAACCATGTAAGGACAAAATTTTCATTTAGAGACACAGCAGAAAAAGTACCAGTGTAGGATGAAGACAACTCAAAGTAAAAACAGACATGATCACAACGGGGAAGCTTCCTAGACTAGAAATCCTACATATATTTACAAAGATCAACAACAACTCTGATCACAGTTAGAAAGATTCTTTAAAAAAAACACTATAAATTTGCAATTGTGCTGAACAAAATATCCAAAATATAGTTCAAGCCCAGTGGCCGTGCTGTTACTATGCGCATAAACGCCTCCCGCACTCTTTACACTAAAGGATCCTCATATTAAAATGTAAAAACACGCAGTCGTTACATACTAAAACTAGTTTGATTTACATTTAGTATCGAGTGGCCAGATGTTCAGAGAGCCTGCTGGCTTTTTATAATGTGCAGCCAGGCTGGTTTGCAGGCCTGCTGGTCATTGTGGTTTAAATGATTCATGACATTATTCCATAATTCCAATTGCTGTTGTCATGTTGTCATAACTGTTAAAGCAGCCGTTGTTGAGTTAATTCTTCTGTACCACATGAAGTTATACTCATGCCATCCCGTGCAATTGTGCGTTACCAACACTCTCGTCTTACTCTGTCTCAAATGATCTTTCCTGCTCCCCTGCTTCCTCCAATAATCCTCCCTTCCCAGCTTGTCTCCTCTACACCCCTCTCTTGTCACGTTTCCTCATCTCTCCTCTGCTTTTCCTTTCCTCTCCTCTCCTCTCGTCTCTCCTCTGTCATCTCCTGCTTAGCTCTCTCACCCAGAATAATCCTAAAGCTGGATGGAGCCGCTGAGACAGTTGTCATGGTTAACACAACAAAACAACACAGCATGACAAGCGGGGTGGAGCCAGCGTAAAGCTAAGTTGCGGCCACTCTGTCCCGTCATCCCCCTCCGCTCCCTGCTGCCTTTTACCCATCCCATTCATAATCTGCACCACACAACCTTGCCAACAGTATGATCACGTAAGGTCTTTTCAAAAGTATTTGCTCTTAATTACAAGGTTGAAACAACAACATCAGCAGCTACGGCGGGTGAAGTCATGCTGTTTGGGTTTTTTTTTTTTTTTCATACACAGAATTCATTTAGGAAAGTTGGACATTGAAAATATCCCATTTTTCATTTGTTCCATTACTGTTATATCAATTTGAGTTATTCTCAGTATTGGTGGGTGTTTAAATAGCATCCATCCATCAATCATGTTGTCAGCCTCAACAGCATTAGCAGCTCTTGGTTGACAAATACAGTCGGAATCAATTGAGGCAGATGTTATGGATGTGACAGAGAGACAGAGCAAATTGCATGCGTGTGAGAGTCTGTATGATGGATTTGACGTCAAGGGGCGTGTGTGTGAGTGTGTGTGTGTGTGTACGCATGTGTCACACACATGCCAGCGGTGGAGAGGTTGCTGGGAAAGCCATCAAAAAGGGATTTAGAGCTGGTGGGTAGCAGGGCAGGACAGTGGGGAACAGAGCGTGAGGCTAAGGCAGAACAGAGGTGAGAGTGTTGCTGGACAAAGAGGGGCCGGGGTTGAATAAATCCTGTTATTTGCCCTGCTCTCTCTCCTGGGGTTGGGAACTTCCTGCATCGTTGACTTAAAGCTTGAGTGCATTGCCATAAACCCTCTTTCTTGCATCATCTGACTGAAACGGACTTACACAGTGTTCGTCCACACTCATCTACAAGCTCATAGGCAATTATGCAACTACAGGTTTGTGTAATTTCAGTGGACACCTGCTAGTGTATATCCACCTGCCTGCCTAATTGAGTTATGTCAGACAGTTACGGCACCAGACGTCTATTGTGGTCATGGCAATACCTAATCGGCCACAGGTTGTAAACTTTGTCGAAAGTTACCACAACTATATCGTCATCATGCCACGACTGCTCAGTTCTCAAAGAAAAAAAAGTGTCATTTCCCGCAGACTGTTCTCAGTAAATCTTCAAAATCGCACTTCATCAAGCCCTCTGAACTCCTAGCAACGCTACACCAAAACAGAAAGGGGGACGGTGCTGGTGACAAAGATGCCACACTTTCTTCAGAAGATCTAATTCAAAGCAGATGCTGTGTGGATGGCACAGGTCTGTTTTACAACCAGCAGGACACTTTTTGTGCTGGCATCACGGGTTGGTGCCAACCCTGACCCCAGGAGTTACAGGGCCCCGTGGATCTGTCTGTCACAACTAAAGGCGGCATGGAGTGCCTGGCGCGGACCTCTGACATTGATAAGACTGAGAGTCAGAGTTCATGCAGAGAGGTGCACAGAAAAACACACACACACACACAAACGTTTGCGTACATGGATGCATTTGCCAGAGTTGCCACAGTCAGCATATGCATCCAAAATGTACTGTCTCAAAGATCAGACAGACAGCTGGGTGACAGTCCAGGATGTTAGAGAGAAAACACACTGTCCATCACAAACATTCTGCGCCAAAGAACCAAAAAAAAAAGATGGCTGGGCTGAGGACTCTGGGACCTGGCGCACTAACAAACCACAGAAAACACCACAACTAAAGAGACTTCACATTGTGAACATCCAAAATTGCTTTTATTGACTTATTCCGTAACTTCAACCTCAGTCAACTGACTTTTCCTCTATATTGCATTACGTTTTTTCTTGGAACACAAACTGCGTCCAATAAATATGTAATACCTACTATATATAGTCTTGGCTAAATACATGAAGCACATTACTGGTTTCATCTACAACAGAACGACAATGCATTGTCAAATGTATTCTTCAATAATTCATCAAGATCAAGTGGAAATCAACCTTTGGCCTGGAACAATACTGAATCATTCCCCTGAAAGAATTAGATGCAAATTCTTAAAACCGTTGTTTAAATTGGATTATTGTTTTGCTAAGCCCTGACCTTGAACCTGTTTTCACTGAAACCATTTTTGTCCAGCACATAATACTTTTCTTCCTTTTAATATTCGGAGTCATTTAGGAATTATGGTCCTCTTGCACAAGCTGGATTTGTGCTTGCCAGGAAAGTTTCTTAGCGCTGGGCCACAGGAGTCCACCCGTTTTACCAGCTAAGCTCAGATGAAAGGTAAACGGAACAATGTATGAGAAACACACAAACACATAAGTAAATGTACAAAACACACGTACTCTATTGTAGCATAACCTTTCAGCACTTGCAATCTCTGTCGTATCACTTTATTCTTTTTGGAGACAAACTTATTTTCCTGCCTCTCTGTGATGCATGGCTCATCACCGGACACTTCTCAGCAGGCTCAAACCTGAAAAGCAGCACGTCTAGTCACAGTGACATAACAGAGCTGGTCTGAGGGGTTTTGACCCCATCACCTGTCAGACCGTCTTAAAGCAGCACACTGGTGTTAGGAGCCTGGTTCACAAAAACTGTTACAACAGATCTGTTGCAGACTCACACACACCACACTCACTCACTGATCTATTGGATATCCCTGTCAGAGGTGCTGAGGAGGTGTCTGGTTGCAGGGCTGCTCTTGGGGTCAGTGCTTGCCGCTGATACCTCTAGGGTTTCTCCTGACAGTGGCCTCTGTGTCATAATCTTTAGCATCAATTATTCACCGCAAGACTTCACAGTCAGACGATGGTAGTAAGCGTGACGCTGCAAGATTCCCTGCATCGAAAGTGTCATGTGCCGGCAGCAGTAAGTAAGGTGATTGGGTCACTGACAGAAATAGTACGACTTTTATCCCACGGGCAGTAATGTTTCATGCAGGGACCCTTAAATTAACCTCTTTTTACAAGGAAACATGTATCAGTTCTTTATCCCATTAAATACAGCAGCTGTCATCCCTTTTTGCCAATGGCCGCTTCTCAAGGCAAAATACCAGCCTCTGTAACCATAATCAAGGACTTTGTTTTTCCCCTTTCACCGAGAATACTCAGTATTGCAAGCTTTAAAAGTGGAAAGCAATACCCTCACTTCCTTTTTGGTTGAGGGTGTGTGGGATAACAGTCTGTAGAGTTTTAATCAAGGGCTTTCCCATGCGGCATCCCTGCCCTGAGGCTTCCCTGGTCCTCAGACGCCCATGGTGAAGAGAATGTGGTTTTATCTGGCAGCTAGTCAAGTGCACATGCGTATATATGCACATACACACACATGTACACACACACATACATATACACAGAAACACACACGCACAGAAAGTGATCTCCAGTTGTCTGACACTGGGAGGCCTGCAGTGGGATCTCATTCATCAATCTTACAACTCTGGTCGGTGATCTGGAGTCAGTCTGGCCACAAAAAGAAACTGCTCTGTCATTAACATCAACTAATATAACAGTGTTCCTGGAACATTTGTGTGTGTCCTCAGTACAACTTCACAAGAAAAAACAACAACCATGCAAACAAACAGTGTAACTGATACTGACGGAAATAAACAGCGAGTAAACAGTAACACACACACACACACACACACACACACATACACACATGCACATAGATGGTGTAGTCCAAAGAAAAGCATAGAAAGAGGTGATAATAAGTCTTCATCAGTGTTTATTTATATATAAAGTGAGAGGTGATTGCTGAGCCAATCCTTCATTAGCATTGTTAACTCTGGAAAATGAAGCGCGCTGTGGTTGGACGGCCAATTAATTATTCGGAGGTCAAACTAAATATGAACGTAATTTGAGCGTTCAGTCCAAATATGTTCCAAAAATATCATATTGGTGCTGACACAGCCCTTTAAACACAAAATTAACCAGAAC